GGGGAAAAATGAGGAACTGATGCCAGAGGCTTAGGTGGAGAGCAAATGTTTTGAGAATGATGAGGGCAATGAATGAACAAATGTACTTTACACAATTGATGTATGTATGGATTGTGATAAGAGTTGTGATAAGATTGTGATAAGAGCCCCCAATAAAATGATTTTAAAAAAAGAAAAATATATATAGATTATAGTAAAGTCATACAGTAATAGGAGAGATAGGAGAGTGAAATGAAGAAGTCTGACACATTTCATGGTAGTATGCTCACCTCCTGGACAACCATGATCTCAACAGCCATGTCTGTGCACTGCCTGGGCAGAGAGAGCAGGAGATGAGGAGAGAGTAATTTAGCTTTTTGATCCATGATTCATCACAAATTAATTCTTGTGGATGATGTGAGAGAGTCAGGGTTTCCTCTCTTCCCTCCAAAACCATTTGTTGAAAAGATTTTTCTTTTCCCATTGGAATGTTTTGGTAACTTTGCTGAATATAAATGGACAATAAATGCATGTTTCTTGACCATGTTCAAATGCAGTCAATTAATGTAAGCCTCCTAGCCGTCATTCTTTATGCGATATATTATAATTCTGAACTCTATGCTGGTGGCTATAATCCCATTTTGGATGGAGTTCTCTGCTACCCTAACGCACAGGATTAAAGTGAGGTTAAGCACTGACTTGAGTCAAGGGTGTGAACCAAGGCACACTCCCTGTTCCCTTGGGGTTATGGTGTGCTAAAAGACGAGACCACCCCTCCATCGAAGCCATTCTTCTGTGTAAGAGCCATCTTAGACACACTGAGAAAGCACAGGACCCTCAAAGAAGTACGCTCCAGATCTCTGTCTGAATTTGCGGACGCCAAGACTAGAGGCACCAGAGACTGTGGCACACAGACCACGAGACGGAGTCAGAGGAGCAGCCCGGAGCCTGAGTCTGCCAGTAAGTGTACATCTTCGATCTCTCCCAATTTGAGGGCTTTAAGCATTTCTCTAAGCCTTATTTTGTAATTTTCTGGTGTAGAGGTATTGCACATATTTTAATTTGCTCCCAAGTATCTTTTGGGGGTACATGGTGTTTTAAAATTTTATTTCATTTTATTGTACAAGTGATCATTTATATAAAAATAGAATCGTTTTTTGTATATGACTTCACTATATTCAGTTACTAGTTTTAGTAGTTGTTTGGCATATTTCTGAGTAGTATCTATCTGAATGATAATGTCCTTAAGCTGGAGCATTTGCTAGAAAGCTGGAAACAAACAAAGTTCCTACTTAAGGAGAGAAAAGGGCGCGGTCCCTGGCTGTGCCTTCCCTCGTGGCTATGTTTGCTGCCCGGTTGTTCCGACCCGCGTGGAGATGCCGGTCCCACCATTGCTCCCTCCGCCTCTCCGCAGTACGAAGTGAAGCTGTCGTCATTTCTGGAAGGAAGCGTGCCCAGCAGATCAAGCAAGAAGTGCGGCGGGAGGTGGAACAGTGGGTGGCATCGGGCAACAAATGGCTGCACCTGAGTGTGGTTCTGGTCGGCGAGAACCCTGCAAGTCACTCCTCCATCCTCACCAAGACCAGGGCCGCTGCAGACATGGAAATCAGCAGTGAAACCGTCTTGAAGCCCGCTTCAATTTCCGAGGAAGAGCTGCTGGACTTAATCAGTAAACGGAACGGCGATGACAGTGTAGATGGCCTCCTTGTGCAGCTTCCTCTCCCAGCGCACATCGACGAGCGGAAGGTCTGCACTGCTGTTTCTCCAGACAAGGATGACAACGGCTTCCACGTCATTAACGTCGGCCAGATGTGTCTGGACCAAGATTCCATGTTACCTGCTACCCCATGGGGGGTGTGGAAAATAATTAAACGGACAGGAATTCCAACCCTAGGGAAGAATGTGGTTGTGGCTGGGAGGTCCAAGAATGTTGGCATGCCCATTGCTGTAACTGTTACTGCATACCGACGGTGCCCACAAGCACCCTGGAGATGATGCCACTGTTACCATATCTCATCAGCACACTCTCAAAGAACAGTGGAAGAAGCACACCACTCTTGCAGACATTGTGGTGTCTGCTGCAGGCATTCCAAATCTGATCACAGCAGACGTGACCCAAGGAGCAGCAGCTGTGACTGATGTTGGAATAAATAGAGTTCAACATCCCATAACTGCTAAGCCCAAGTTAGTTGGAGATGTGGATTTCGAAGGAGTGAGGAAGAAAGCCGGGCACATCACTCCGGTCCCCGGCGGTGTTGGCCCCCTGACAGTGGCGATGCTCATGACGAACACCATCATCGCTGCCAAAAAGCTGCTGAGACCTGAGGAGCGGGCAGTGAAGTTGAAAGAGCGTGGAGTCGCATCCAACTAAGGATTGTAGCTTCTGCGTCACCAACAGCGTTCCAAGCCAGCACACGAGGCAAAACAAGCCAATAGAAAATGCAATATTCTTTATTTATTGGACTGAGATGGTGCGAAAGGACACTTTGTATTTATCGAGAGCTTCAGTGGGTGGGTGTTTGCACAGGTAACCGAAGTTCCTCACAGGGGAGCACTCTGTTGTCGTGCTAGGTCTTAGGGTCTAGCCAAGAGCAACCATTAACTGAGTGATTTAACACGGGGGGCATTGTCTCATGGAGAATGGGTGCTGAACTCTGCACAGCCACTTCCGTTGTTAACACTGGCATTTTCTAGTGACTTTGCCCAAGTGCTACTCCAATCAGAACCGATAGTTTAGGTTTCCAATCTACTGAGTTCAGCCGGTCAAACCAAAGGGGAGATGCTGATAGAGAACACTGGGACCGATACAAAGGAGACATGATTGTCATTGGGTACTGTCTTTACAAGTGCCCTGATGTGGACGTGTATTCATCGGTACCCAGGCTTATCTGAATAAAATAGAATTGGGCAGGAACGAAGCAAAGCTACCTGCCAATTTACTCCTCAGCTGTCATACAGAGGGTTAACTGTCACTCACGTGACAGTGTTTGGGGAGGGTCTCTGTTACAGCTCTTGTCTTATGTCTGGACCATTCAGTGAGCTGTCCCATGTTAGTTTTCTAGAGTTTGAGAAACATTATTTTATAAATTATTCATGTGTGTTGTCATCTTTGGCTGTATCTTTACACTTTATTGTTAATTTTTTGTACTGAAAAAAAAAAGAAGAGAGAAAAATTGTCAAGTCCAATTTCAGCATTGAGCTGAAGTTCCTCAAGCACCTACTCTGTGCCTGGTGTTGTTCGGTACACTATCTCACTTATTCTTCAGCCAAGTTTGTCAGGTGTTGCTCTTGATAATATATGGATGAGGATGCAGACTGGCTAAGTACATTGCCCTTGATCCAGAGATAGTTATTTATGGAACTGAGGGAGCGACTCTGTCTGATGTAATGAATCTTTCACCGACGGGACCAAATTGAAGTTATTGAATTGAATGACAGCTCTACAGGGAAATATAGAAAGGTAACAAAGTAGATAGATAATGAATTCACATTTTTCTCATGTATGAGAAATAAATAGTACAGTCAGATAAGGTTTTTACAAAGAGTAGAAAGTGAATTAATATTACATATTTAGGGTTTCTTTAGAACTCTATTTCTTAGATAAGCAATCTGATTTGAATTCTATCATGAACAAATTACTTAATTTCTCTAAGCCTGCCTCCTTTCTTGTACTGTGGAGATAATAATCCTCCCTGAGAAGGTTGTTTTGATAATAAAACAAGAAGCTGAGTGTCAATGCACCGGCATGTATCCTGGTTCAACAGACCTCCGTGAACGTCTGCTGAGAGGACACGGAGGGGACAAGTTAGCTTGTGCAAATCTCCTATTCCAGAAGGTTTTTTATTACAATAGATAACATGCAATATTTGCTTTTCATATGAGTTCTTTCTCTCAAAGTTGACTTATAGCATATGCAAGATAAATTTTTAAAAGTTGCTGCAAAATCATAGGAACATTTTTTTGAGTAAAACTATCAAAACATGTGGTTATTGTCTCTCATTCACCTCCATTTCTGTCCTTCCGAAGAAAGGGTTTCTCTCTCTCTCACCATCATGGAGGAATTTCGCACACTTTTCTATTTGCACGTGAACATGGCAGTTCCAGCAATCTTGAGGGGCTCGGGCTGTTTCTTTGAATGGCTTTTTGAGTTTGGGTGAAGAAAGCCTGAAGACCCAGGATTCAGGATGTGGGGGATGGGGCACGGGTCCCTAGGAAACGCTTGCAGGACATCTTTGCTACCTTTGAAGAATGAGCAGGCGCGCAGTTTTGATGTGAGGGAAAAGTCTCTTAGGACAAATTTTCTGGTTCTCCCACCCATCCCACCATTTTCAATCTTCTTAAAACTTCTTCCTAAAAAACAAAACAACTACAAAAACTTCTTCCTAATAAACTTTTAGGGTTGTCCTGTCCAAGAAAATCTATCAAGACTACCCAAAAAAGTCACTATAACCTTCTAAGCTGCCCTCTCAGCCTTGAATGCAACTGGGCAGCAGATTCCCTGGGAAGCCACTGTATTGATGGGACCATTTGTCGAAGGTGTTCATGCAACGTGAGTGATTCCAGTTGCCTGCTGCAATTAAGCCAATTCAACAGACAGGCGCTGGCAAGAGGGAGAGATTTACTGACTATATATAAGATACAATGGATCCATCCAGCAAAGATTTGTCTCCTCAAGTGGAGAAAGAGGGGATTAAATATATATATTTTAATATATTAATATATACTTAAATTAATAAATATACATTGATATATAAGATCTTTATTTAAATATATTAACATAATATATTTAATATATTATATGTATATTAGGAAAGGAGTGGGGGTCTGGAAAAGGAAATAAATGTGTAATTAAGTTACAGGGTATTGGTTAATAAATATCATGTCATCTTTCTTATGCTGCTTTCTCCTCTGGTGGGCAGTGGTCCTCATATGTTTTTCCCCCTGGGACTCAAAAGAGTAAGTTTCAGTCTAATTAGTCTTCAACAAGCATTCCTGTTATTCTGCCTAGAACTACAAATATATCATTTGCTTCAATTCTTATTACTAAAGAAATAACATTATATTCAAATGATTGAAAAAATCTTAGTAATTCTTAGCCCATGCTTCACTTCCGAGTCACTATACCATGAGTTAAATAAACTCACCTTTACGGGAATAATTTCAATAGGAATTCATCTCTAGTTTCCAAAAGAAAACACCAAAGGTAAGTTAATGTACTGCCAAGTCCAACTGAAACCATTAAGGCACGCGGCAAAGGCAAGCAAAACGCGTGGCGTCTCAGCAGTTCACAAAGGCCGTATGCTATCAAAGGTACTCCAGGCAGACTAAGACACGCGCATGAGGGAGAGAACTGTGTGCAGCCAGCCACTCATCCATCACCTGCTCACTGTGAACCTGTTTCACAGGGAATAAATCTGTCTAAGCGTGAACTGGAAGTCCAGTAGCAGTATTTTTTTACTGACCTTGTATTTATGAAGATGGATTCCAGTTGGTTGCATGTTGGCAGCTAAGATCTTATTTCTTTTTATAGCTTCACGGGGGCAAGGAATGTCCTTTAAAACAGGAAAGTTTGGTGACACAATAGGAATGGTGATCAGGAAGCCATTCTCCATTCCCTTACTTAGTCTTGAGAATAAGTGAGAATTTCGGCAGAGCATTGGTTGGCAACGTGTGAAATCTTACTCGTGTTCATGGTCTCCCCCACAGCCTGAGAGTGAGGCACAGTCCCAGGTGAAGCATAATACAGAAAAAGGCTTTCAGAAAAAAATTGCATGCTTCATATCAGAACTTCCCAACGTCTCTTTTCCAGTTTTATTCCTGCCTTCTCCACCCAATAGATCACAACGGATTATAAAGATTCTGCATAGATTTGAAGGTTTCTAATAGAAACCGGGGGTGAGGGGTCAGTAGTTTGGTGCACGCTGACGCCTCTGAGGGAAAGCATGCTCTATGAATATTTTGTCTCCATGGTGTGGATTCCTGACAAAGGAAATGGACATGTTACAGTTTGTCCTCCATTGCAAGCAGAGAGAATCATAGAGCAACAGGGCAACAGCACCACCCCTTAAATTCCAGCATTCAACCAATACAGGTTTAATGTAAAACATTAGCCAGCACAGGTTTCTGGCCCTGTCTCAGGAAGGGAAAGCTGTAACCTAAATGAAGATGAACTCCCCGATTCATAATCTCAGGGTTCCTCCCCTGTGAAGCACTGCCTCGGGTGCAGTTAAGCACTTGTCAGAGAAGGGAGATAGAGGCACAATGTGGGCGAAAGGCCGGGAAACGTGGGGAGCGGCTGGCTCTCTGGAAGGGGGATCTCCACAGCCGGACGATCTAGTCTTAAACCTGCAGGCATCAGACGCCGAGGCTGAGTCCGACTCCAAGGTCAGCAAACCCAAGACCCTTTTTGCTGACCTTTGCAGCCGCGCTTCCCTGTCCGTGCCCAGGCGAGACCCAGTCGAGGAGAGAGCAGCACCAGGTTTTTGATTGGACCTGAGAAGTAGAACCAGTCCCGGGATTGGTCCGTTCATAACCCGGAGACAGATCAAGTACCCTACACCTGGTAAAAGCCTCTAGACACAGCTCACTGAGCGGCAACTCACCCCACCTGATGCATCAGGTGTTTTCCTTTCCAAATAAACCCTGCTGTCTGCTGGCCGTTCTGCGGTCTGTGATGAGGCCATCCTTCAGTTCTCCAGTTCTCAGGACCAAAAGTCCCTGGACACAGCGGAGCATTTGCAACTCGAGAGCATTGCGATGGAAAGGTGGATGGTCCAATTGGGCCCAGAGAGGCACCTTGAAAGAGGCCTGATGATCTACTTCCATTGGAAATCCTATGTAGCGAAGTCCCATTCTCTGACACGCAAGGGGTGGCTGTGTTAGAATCTAACAGAGGGCAACTGGCTGGGTTTTCTCCTGTGGTGAGGGTCTCAGCGATCTACTGCTGCTATACTGGAAATACTGCACGAGGGTGGCTTTCACAAAAGAAATGTTGCAGGATAGGAGGTTAGAAGCCTGAAATCAGGGACAGCTCTAGGAGGAAGCTTTGTCAGCCCTGAGAGGGAAAGTCCTGATTTCCTGTTAACATTGTGGTAGTTACATAATCTGTTGTCAATTTGAGAGGATTAGAGTGAAGGTGTGGAGTTTAGCCTGTCAATCAGGTCGCAACTTGATGACCTCATCTGGAGGTGCTAGAAGATAGTTCGCTTGCGGGGGAGGGGGGGGCGGGACACACACACACTCAACTCCCTGTGAGACATTCTTAGGACATGCCTGATGGAGCTACAATGATGCAGCCAGAGACCGGAGCTGAAGGAGCCACTTGGAGACCCCTGCCAGCACTGAGATGCTTCTACCGCCACTGGATCCACAAGACCCTCCACTCACTGGCCTGTGATCTTCCTGCATTTGATGTCATTGTGTTTCATGAGTCTGAAGAGGGCTTTATAGATTGGTATCGGAATATGGGCTAATGTCAGACTTATGGACTTGATCTGGACTGGGCTGTTTTCTTAATACTCAACTGCTCTTGTATATCAAGCCCTTTGTTATACACATATGAGTCTCCCTGGATTTGTTTCTCTAGTCTACCAGGACTAACACAAACATCACGATATGAAAATCTCTTTATGTCTTGGCATCAATTTTCCCTGGATCTACGAGGTTGTCAGCACAGGGACCCTGGGTCCAGAGGACACAATCTGCTCCTGGCTCTTCTCTCCTGGTGGTAGCAGGTAGGTCTCTGTGATTTGAAATGGCTGTCAGTGGAATGAAGGGTGTCAAAAGCAATTCCGGTGGGAGCTCAAAGGGAAGTTAGGAGGGCAGTAACTGAGACAGAGTGGGGGCATGAAGCAGAGGCAGAAACATGACAGTAGCCAAACAGGAAATCTGTGCAAGATAGCAGGGGAACTGACCTCCACAGTGACAGAGTTGAGGCAGGAAGGAGATGCCTCAAGCCACTTGATGAAACTAAGCTCGCCAACCCACAGCGTGAGAGCAGTGTGCTCTCAGGTTGAGGCTCACTTGTGCAGTGGGGAGCCTCAGAGCACATCAGAAGAGTCCAGGAGCTTTTTAACACTTGTGTAAACAGGCAGATGCCGGGTTGGCCCAAAGAACCCTTGGGACTGAGGGCTAAAGGCCAGAGAAAGAGTACCCTGGACCAAATGTTCCAATGTGAGGCTGCTGTTCATAAGTGCAAATGTATGTGGTTCCACCTACTGCCCAAAGCCAAGAGGTAGAAGAGCAGGAGTCAAGAGGGTGGGCGTCACTACTCAGTTGGACTAGGAGAATGGGGCTAATCAAAGCTGAGGGAGCTCTGTACCACCAAGAAAGAAGAGCAGGGGAAGATGCCAAGTCAAAAGGACATCTCCAAGGAACACCAACCCCACAGCTATTTAAAGGAGATAAGGCCCTTTCTTTCCCCAGAGCTCAGCGAGAAAGGCTTCCCTGAGAGATGGTGCCCTGAATTGGGATTTCTGGCCTCCCAAACTGTAAGAGGACACATTTTGGCTTGTGAAAGCCATACACTTGTTATTTTTCAGTTATTGTAATGTTCCATAAAGGAGCTGTGGTGATGTGGTGGGTTACTCATTGGGCTGCTAACCATAAAGTTAGCATTTCAAAACCACCACCTGCTCTGAAGGACGAAGATGAGGCTTTCTACTCCTGTAGAGTCTTGGGAATCCAGAGGCAAGTTTACTCTGTCCTTTAGGGTTGCTATGAGTCAGTTGGCAGTAAGTTAGGTTTAGGATAATACTAGATTGACACAGTAAACCATCCAACCAACCAAGGGGAAGAGTGGGACATGGAAACAGATGTGGTTGTTCTCTAAGTAATACTAGGTATAGTTCTGTTCCAGAAACTGGTTTTACGTTCCGGGTCCTATGAATAAATAAGGATATGAAAAACAAAGAACCTTAAAGGGTTACAGAAGATGTCCTAAACTACGTTTCTCTAAGAGGGGTATGCACACTCTAAATAGAGTGGTAGGTGGAAAATACTATTTCATTTTTAAAGCTAGTGAAATACTAAGGACTCATACTGTATACCTGGAGTGGCATGAATTAATGCCTTCGTCCTCTGCCCTTATGAGACTGCAGGGTGGGATGGGCTGTACAGGGAGAGTGAGAGTTCTGTCATCGAGGAAGCATGTTCAGTAAGCTGCAATGCCGCTGCTTCTCTAAGGCAATGAAGGAATTCATGATTAGCTAGTTTTATCTACAAAATGAAAAATCAGCTTTAAAATACCCCTTTCAAGAAACCACAAGTTGAAAATAATGCCAGCAACAGAAACACAAATCAATAAAAAGAAAGTGCCAGCTCTGAAACTCTCCTGCTCTTTGGCCAGCTTTATTAAGGATTAAATGACTTAATGGGTCAGAACTGACTTTGGTTTGGGCGGTGAGTTTGGTTTTGGTTAGTCGGAAGCCCCTTCCTAGTAAAATTATCAAAATTACTTGAAAAGTCAATTTACTCGCTAGTCCTCTCAATGTATTTTGTTGCACCTTAAGATGTATCTTTACTTTTTGTATTTTTATGTAGTGCAGTAGTATTAAGTTTATAGGTGAAAAAATTAAAAACTTTTTCATAAAACTTTGGAGATTGTGGTAGTTACATAAGTTCATGTCAACTTAAAGATATGTAAGTGAAGGGGTGGTATTCAACCTGCCAATCAGGTCCCGGCCTGTTTGTATCTCCACGTGGGGGTGGCCTTCTCATAAGGAGGGCCCTGGGAACCTCCCCTATTCTACCTACCCTTTCATGCTGGTGGACCCTGGTTGCTGCCAGACCCCTGGAGATGCATCCACTACCATTGGATCCACAAGACTTTGCACCTACTGACCTGTGATCTTCCTACATCCTGCATCACTGCATGTGGCTGTATGACGAGGAACTTATGAACTAGTATCGGACTTAAGTTGGACTGGTATGGGCTGTTTTCTCGATATGTAATTACTTATTGATATATAAAGCTCTGTCTTACACATGTTTGAGTGTCATTGGATTTCTCTAGTCAACCCAGCCTAAGACAGAGATCGTCTAAAATGACCAAATATCCTTTTAGCATGCTCTGTTGATCTTAAAAGAACAAACTGTGACATGGCAAGGGATGGCATTTTGTACCTGACAGTTGAAAGCCAACAAGAAAACAGGAGCCTTAGTCCTGAAATCACAAGGAACTGAATCTTGCCAACAATTGGAAGGAGTCTCCCTAGCCAGGGTCCTGATTTCAACTGAAATAGACCCTCAGCAGAGAACCCAGCTGTTTCAAATCAACATGTAAGAAGAGAATTCATTTACAGATAGATGTCCAATTTAGTACATTTTAATCTAAGATGCCCCTGCCATCAGTTCTAGAATGAAGCTGGGATCTGTGTTATTTAGTGTCTCTTTTGGAACCTTGTGGCTCTAAGGACAGACACTCTAGTTGCTTGCAGGAGCCCTGGCAGGTTAATTTTATTGACTTAGGCAATGCTCATGAACTTTAGAATTACTATTAGAAGGCACTTGCTGGGGAAAAACAAAACAAAACAGGTTTTTCAGGGAAAGATCATGCTTAGTAGTACTGGATGACCGGGTAATCTATATATACACAATGCCCTCAGTCGTTCTCAGTTAATTTTGGAAACTGGGGACACAAGTTAACATTAGGGAGATGCATAATTGAACAATTCCTCAAAATAGAATGCGAACTATGTAATGTCCATAAAAAATGCATGCCAAAAGCTAACAAATGCCAAGTTGGAAAATACTATTTATCATGCTTCCAATATTTGCGATGTTTTAAGTTCATCGCATCCCATGTTAAGTAAACTTTGCACCATATACCCTTGTTCATCAAATTTATTGTTGAACATTCAGAACAACAGATTGTGACAGATTGAAGGAAAAAAAAGCACCAAAAATTGCTACACATTAATACCTGAGCAGAGACAGAAGGCAAATATTTATCTATTGAACCCTACACCATGATATTAAAACACAGGTAAAAATCTTCACAACACTCTACAGAATACATTAAGTAGCACTTTTCATGAATTACAACCAGTTATATGTAATAATGTTAATTATACCACACGAAAAATACACACAAAATTACACATAAGTGTTTAGTATACTACACATTGTACAAAATACTGGAGATCATGCATGTTTAAATGAAACATCTGCCAGGTGACACTCATTTTCAGTGTACTCTGTAAGACAAGCTCCTTTCCACTGTCAAGGGCTGTTCCTGAGCAATGGACTCTCTGGATGAAAACAAAATCATCACATTGCAAATAAGTGATTGCTGAGTCTTATCTCACAGTGTGACTAAGGGTTTGTCCTCTATCAACTTTTAACTGTGGGGTAAAAATTGATGCAGGTTACAGTCATTTTAATGTTTTTAATTACATACTCTAGACCCAAATGTCCATCTCAATTTACCAAGTTTTAAGGAAAGACATGCTTTCGTTCTCCCTAGTTTCAGAGAATTCTATTTTTGTCTTTGGTGGAAAGGTAGTGAAGGTGAAACGGGGAAAATAGTTGAGTTAATTTCAAAACTGAAAATGAAAACTATAAAACAAAGTAAACACACACAGATGCGGGCTTCTTTCAGGAGAGCCCACGAGTATCCCATGAATAGAATGATTTGGAGTTCAATAGAAATTATATCCATGATTTTAAATAAGCACAGTAAAACTGTCGGTCCTAACATTTTAAAAATTGGAGTGAACTCTCTCAAACACTATATTTAGAAAGGAAAAAGAAACACAAGAGAAAATAATGTTTTTAAAAATACACCATATAAATTTGAGTTTATTCTTATTACTAAAAAAACTATTGGCTACATTCACGTTATTTGATATATACTAAATACAAGACTCAAAAAGTTGAGGAAAAATGAATACAGGTTTTAAGGGAAGAACTGATGCCTTTCATAGATTATAATCATCTGAAGATTAATTTTTCCATCTGTGTGAAGTTCAAACAGAGGTGTCACTAACACTCTTGAATCCAAAGGAGATTCTCAGAAACTTACTTCAGGCATAATTTCTGCTAATTTTAATCTAACATGAGAATTCTGGAAATTAGGAGGCCACCAGAAAACAGTTCTGAACAAAGGGAAACACTGGTCAACTTACAATAAGACCAAAGAAAAGACTTTTATTTCCAACCTTGAAAGGATTTGGGCCAATTTAAGGAGACCACCCCTAGTAAAAAACAGAGTGAAACAATTGTAGGGCATTACTTTCTCATTTTAAGGCACAATCTGTTTATCCCAAATGACTGTAGGTTCAAGGTCACAGTGATGATGTATATTCAATTTGGTCTGGTTTCTCAGGGCATACTGCTACATTTATAATTAGTCTTAAGTTTAAGAAACTAATATAATCACTTCAAAATAACATATCTAAGTCGCTTTTATATTTTAAAAAAGTCAATACTTAGTAAAATTTTCTATGTTATATACATTGAAGATTGGGGTTTTCTTTTTTCCTCTGTGGTAGAGAAGGGGCAGTTTATTTCTACAAGCATTCCAACAAACACCCATTAGATTAGGTAGAATGATTATGCATACAGGATTCTCCTACTTAGGATAAAGTTACTCAACACAAAGGATAATACACTTCTTTAAAAAATCAACGTCTACTGAAGTTTTAGGTTTTGGACATCATCTTTTTTTTACTAATATCACCATAGGTTCCAGCTGATCATTGGAGACAGCACTACTAACTCATGGGCAAGCATTTCAAAACTTAGCTGTTACCCCATCCATTTCCAAGGCTCCTTAAGCAATTGGCTTTACAGTCTCTAGGCAGAGAAAATGCATGTGGCTTTAAATGACAGAGACACTTTAATAAGGGGCTGAAATTACCTTTGATAGTTTCTTTCCCTTTCACAAGGGAAAAATGAAAGTATCAAGCAGATAAACATGGTTGTTTCTGAGGATTGTATTTTTACCTTTCTCTCGTGAGTACACGTCTTTGTAATGTTAGCATTAACATTTTGATTTTTATAATATTTTCCTTTAACACTGCATTGTTTACTTGTTTTTAACTATATTAGGTTTAAGTGGATATTGTCCCCTAGTGAAATGTGATTGTACAAAAAGGACTGAATAAAAATACATAGAAAACATGTTTTAAAAAAACTTCAGTGGTCAATTTTCTAACACAAATGAGACACCTGTACTACAAATGGCCCTGTACAACAAGAATAATGGTCACCCCTCACAAAATGAATCTCTATATGCAATAAGCTATTGCATACCCCAATTGAGTACACCCAATGAACGCTCCGAGAAAGTGTTCCAGAAATCAGACAGGGTAGAATAGTCTAAGCCAAAAACTTTAAATACTTTCTTCCCCAGGAAAAATGGGGGTATGAAGCATAAGTGTTCCCAATTTTCATGGTTCTTGTAAGTCCTAGATGAAAAATACTGAAAAGATTAATTTTGCTTTTCCCCAGTAAGCTAAGAAGAGTTCATTGGCACAAATATCCGGAGGTATTTTACAGTTTCATTTAGCTTTGGTGATAAAGTGATTTGCTAACCATATGAATGCAGTTTAATGGTTTCCAATGTTGAACTTTATGCAAAAATAAAATAAAATTCAAAACACAATTCAAATATGTCTTATTTTTCTTTAAAAGGAATGTAAAAAGTCCACTACAAGACAGAACAAGTACAACTAGAAATAGAAAATATGCCATTTAGGCTTTTGAACAGTTAATTATTCTTTTTCCAATAAACGTTTTACTACTGACATTACTACTATATAAATACTAAAAACCAAACATTAAAATTAAATAGCATATGGACTTTATAAAACTGGCTACTTTTAGATTTCCTAAACTAAGATTAGGATTCAAATATGCAAAAAAGTTGCACTGGTCAAAAATATATCAACATACACATCTTTTCATAAATGTTCCAAGTTATAATACAGACAGTGAATGCAGTATGATTCTGACTCATCTATATCAAGTCTGATATAAAGTCATCAGAAATTCACTGGTTACTTGGTATTCCAAAACATGTTTGGCAGCTTAACACGCCAAGCCATTTTAAGAAAGTACGGAATTGGATTTAAAAAGTACCAACAATAGACAATTTAATCAAGATGTAGCTTAGAAAATAAATTTTTGAAAGGTAAGTTTTCAATTCCAGTGTACTGTTTACAGTCACACTGTTAGTGGAATAACAGTTTTCTATTCTCACAATTCTCTTAGGTAGGCTTTGGATATTTCTAAACTTTATTTTGTTCTCGAAATTGTTATTATTATACAAAAATCCAGTCTTCTAGACTCAAAGTTTATCAAACACTGATTTTAAAGTTGTTCTTTGCTCAAAAAGACTAGGATAAAAATTTCACCTCCAACTACCTTGCTGATTTGTTTTGTAAAACATCAGACTTTTAAAGGTAAAAGTTGGCAAGGAAGTTTTCAGTGTAATTTCATAACACAGATACTTTAACTGCTTCCTGTATTCTGGAGAGTGTCATGCTTCCTAAATTGACCTTCCTCAATAAACTTCACAAGCTAACGTATTTACTATGATCTAAAAGTTAACAAAGGCTACACAGACACACACTAACAAAGCGATGATGAGAAAAAGTAAATGTCTAGTCATAGAATGTCCCACACATCTATTTGTCCTAACTGATTTTATTAACAAATACTAATATTTCAAGTGTAGCAGTATACAGTTTATCTGAACCCTAATTATAAAGCACTACTTTAGATTTTATACCTACGATGAAAATACAGGCTAACTGAACTGATGATCGGAAACCAAGAGCTCTGGCTCGTGTGGGCACCCTCTTGCTTCCTGTCTCGCCCGGCGCTTTCAAGAACTACATCTGAAAGTGCGTCTACCTGCTTTCATCTCATTTGCTTACCTTCTGCAAGTAGGTATTAATAACTCAGGAAGTAAACTGAACACACCACGCTGTAACGGTGAAGTAGGACGAGTTTTTTTAAAAGTATAGGAACTAGCTATTAAACAAATCAGATAATCTGCCTCAAAGACATTTCTGGGTGTGGCTGGAATGTGCACTTTCTACATAAGTGCTACAATCAGCAATAAATGTTTATTAGGCCTACAGCAGTTCTTTATCACTTTTTCCTGATTGTATAATCAAGTAGATATTAGAATAACAGTTCAATCAAGAAGTTATTCCATTATGTAAAACTGAATTTATCTGACCGAAATATATAAAATAATTTAAAAGATCAATCAATATGCATTTAAGAACTTAGAATCAATAGTAATCAGGCACACATGTTTTTTTTTCAGGACCACTGTTTTCAAGAATTTTGTTCTGGTTATAACTAAAGAGAAAAGAGTTACAGAACAAATTTAATTCCTAGCACAGAGAAATCTCAGAAAAAAGACACTGGCAACTTCTATTAAATGCTCAGTCCCAAATTATAATAGAAGTATTTCGAGAAGAGACTTTAGAAACACTGAAATGAACCAATGTTTTCTTGTTCATTCTGTATTTAAGCACAAAACGTGGTCAAAAACCAGCAATTACTAAATCAAAATAGCTCAGCAGAGCTTGGAAATAGAAATTTGCGGAATCAGATAACTCCTAAGTGTCAATAAAAGGACTTCATATTTTTAATGGCTGCTAACAAATCTGCTGTTTTAGTAGCGGACAGTAGACACTGTAGGCTTGACAGGAAGAATGTGTAATTTAACAGAAAAATGAATTTTCTTTTATCATGAATAATCAATTTTACTCATCTTAAAACAGAATCTACTGTCTTACCTATCGTAGTTATTTGAGCTTAACAGTTCATCAGGACTGTATATTCTTATTAGAATGTGTGTATCTATCATATACACACCATGTATATAATGGTTAAAAACCCAAACAATCATATTTTTCAATTGTTTAATCAGAGTGCTTTTGTAACTCTAAAAGAAGTATTTTGTTGGCATAAATAAAATACTAAGTAATAATAATTACATTCACATGAAAATAGTGTGCCTAAGCTCCTGTTTTAAAAAGCAAAGGAACTTATTCACAAATGAAATTTAATCTTCTTAAATTTTATTTGGCTCCTTTTATTTATGATTGGCACTGATCAAACAAGGAAGCCTAGTCTATATAAACACAATGATTATGGCTATCAATTGAAATTCCAAAGTAATCAATTTTCTTCAATGCTTTCTATATATGGACCTACATCCAAATTCAGCAATAAATAATACTAATTTGAGATACAACTATAATATCAGTGGTAATACAGAACAATCATGTGTACAAAAGTGTTTAGGACTGTATACATAGCCAAACATAGAAAGACGTGTCTATTTAAATATATACATGTTGTGCAATGGGACAATGCCATCTAGTATGTATTTTTTTCCTTCTCTGGTACTGAACATGCAAAATTTTTTATTTCATTACGTTTTGCTATTCTTTGCAAACAAAACAGGAGTCTTGTATTCTATGTCTATTGTAAGGTTATCACTTCCCTTTAATGGTCTCAGTAAATGAACATATGAATGATCAACAACAGGAATGAAGCTGGGAAAGATAACAATGGAACTTGAATTAAAAAAAAAAATCAAGCCAACTCTCAGAAGTATAATAAAACTCTCTCAAAAGGATGCCCAAACAGCAAGGACCTGAGACACAACTGAGAATAGAATTGGGGGTAACCCTTTTTGGCAGTAGAGTGGGGTAACCCTCTGTAGGCAGTAACAGCTGAGGGGTTGTAATGGAGTCCAAATGTAACTGATGGCAGATCACAAGACAGTGTTACTCTGGGGCATCCTGAGTACTCACAGGAACACAAGTCCACAGGTACAACTAGGATCACTGGTACGTAAGGACTTCACTCCAGAGATTTTGGTATTTACAGTGCATGTATCTAAAAGAATGGTGTGGTGGGATAGGTGTACCTTGGCCTGAGTTTATTCTATCCTAAGGCAGGGAGAACATGCCTTGACAAAGTTCTACCATCAACTTCCTACTTGTTTGTAGTTAAAAATGAACTGAGACAAACATGTTACTCTCTGAGTCCAAACAATAATCCTAAAAATAACCTGGGAAAATCATAATTCCACTGAAGCACCTAGTGCCTTGAAAGCTCCAATTTATACAGATGTAATATTTATATTTATACCATTAATGATGTAACAGCTTATCAACTGTTTTTAATCAACAGCATAATTTCTTAAGTCAAAGGTAGCACTGCATTTTACCATTCTGTTGTGCAAACTCTTCTAAAAGGTTATTTTGAATAACTCCTCATGAACTGGAGGCACTTTCGGCAACCACAGGGGCAATGAATTAAATGAGACCAGGGTATAGACTGAACAGCTGACTGCTCCATTAACTGTAAGTAAATTGCTATGAAAATTTCCTCTACATCTTTAAATATTAGATCTCTTTAGTAGTCTTCTCCACCAAAAAGCCTCTCGATGGTACAAACCACTATGTGCGAGGCTACTAACCAAAGGGTTTATAGGTTAAATCTACCCAAAGGCACCTCACAAGAGAGGCCCGACCGCCTCCCAAAATATCACAGCTTTTGAGAACCCTACGGAGCAGAGTTCTACTCTGAAACCCCAGAGTCTTCATGAGTCAGAATTGACTTGATGATTAAGAAATACATATTCACCAATAATACAATATAGGATTTGTATTTGAAAAGTAACAAGAAAATTTCATAAATTTTGAATTTTGGATTATACTCCCATCCATTCATCTTAACATTGGCAACAGGGAAAATGTTTCCTTACAATTCAGAACTGCATTTTCCTATAGTTGCTGTTAGGTGTCATTAAGTTGGTTCTGATTCACAGTGACTTTATGTATGTACAACAGAATGGAAACAAAAGACCTGCTTTCCACCCATGGCTGCCAAAACACGAACCAAAGGCCCTTCCGGGCTAGTAAGCATTTTTAAGTTTCATCAATATTTTAAGACTTACTTCTCAATATGCAAACTGTAGCAAATACAAGTAACACACATTTCAGAAGAGAGTTAGTTTCATGAGCCAAGAGCAGAATGCTTGAGGTGAGATTATAAACAATGCTGCATCTACTGAGATTCTAGGAAAAGACCCCTGGTATTGTCAACCAAGCAGACTAGCTGATATGCACAAGAGTCCTCAAAGGTGTTGGCTACCATGTCCCTTAGCAATTTTTCCAAAAATAGGTAGTACACAGACACCACACCACAAAACAAAACCATGCTCCAACTATTTTCTTCAAGCATTACAAAACTAATTTCCTATCTTCAATACTGTAAAAATAGACGTGTCTTCTCCAAAGTATCTTGATGTCCATGATGAATTTGTACGTTTCTTTCTTATTACTGGCCCTCTGGGCAAATATCACCTTTCTCATTCTTCAAATCCAATCTTACATAAAGTTGCAAAATGCATGGAGTAACAGAGGAACGATGACAAAGCACGGGACCCTGTATAAGTGTGCTGACCCAAAAGCGATCACACCGACAGCAAGAGGAAGTGGAAACTGTGACGCAGTCTTCAACAACTTACTGTAAGAAGAGAGGGAAACGGATATTATATAAACTGAATGAAGAACTAAAATGGACTTCTGAAAAACTTAAGTGTTTTATGTGATTTTAAATGCAGTGCTTTCTCATATAATGAATTTACCCAAATGTAACTTTTTAAAAGATCAATACAAGCTATATTGTGGCTAGAAAATGTAAAAAAATAAAATAAAATAAAATTTAGAAAATATAAATTTTTACATTACTAGATTGCCTTTACTTAGGAATTTTACATTGAGAAATGAACCCTAACATAAACGATGAATAATGTTTACTATGACATAGCACAGATGTTTAACTCTACAAAGCAAAACAAAAAATAACACAAGCAAACAAAAAATAGGTATTTTCTTAGCTTACTTTTAACAAGAGCCTTAAGACTAAATACTAGATATTACTATCAGGAAAGCCTATCACCCATTTTATTCTCAGAAAACAGAAACTAAGGAAGAGGGGCTAAGAAATTTGTCTTTGGACAAAAAGTTATTAAAAGCAAAATTAAACCCCAGGTTTGTCTAAATTCTGCACATCCCTAACAGAATCAACTAAAAAGGCTTCCAGAGCAATCAACTAGTCAAAAAACATCAAATTTTATTAGGGAAAATTTCAAACATTGAAAAGTAGAAAGAAAATTATAATGAACCCTCAAACATCCATATTCTAGCTTCAAAATTTATCAATTTTACTTCACTGCGACCTCCATTCACTTCCCCTCTTCCATGTTTTGTAAGTGACTCTTAGATATTATATTAAGGGATACCGCTTTAAGTAAAAAAAAAAAAATCACCATGTTCTAACAGGTGAGGCCTGTAATCAAGGAAACAAGCACATTATGCCAAGTGCATGCAAGTCAATCCTTGTTACGGCATCCGAGTTAGGAGTGGTCAAAGCAATTGGAGTAAAAAAGTATAAAATATGACAAAAAAGGGTGATAAAGACCACGAGAAACAGAGGGAAAGAAAGACTAAATTACCTTGACTTTATTGAAACAGTGTACGTATTTCCAAGAACTGCCATAGTTGGAATAAGAATAAATGCCAAAGGTTTACATGGATCAGGATTAAGTTTAAAGTAATACCTATATCAAAGAGAGACAGAAAAAAACCCAAACACTTTTAAGTTTAAAGTAACAGCTATAAAAAAACAAATACCCCAAAACCTATATATAAAAAAGCACAAATCAACAAAGCAGGAGTAATCAATTTAAACAAGAATTATCAAGTGAAACAAATTACAGAAACAACACGAGTAAACTTGAGAGAACTCCAAATATCTCATGAAATCTCTGATAATTCCTTTCCTGTAAAAACACCATGGTTGAGTCAATTCTGACTCATAGCAACTATACAGGGCAGAGCAGGGCAGCTCCATAGCTTTCCGAGGCTGTACATCTTTATGGGAGCAGAAAACCTCATTTTCTCCTGCAGAGCAACTGGTGAGTTTGAACTGTTAACCAAGTGATTAGCAGCCCAAAGCTTAACCCACTACTCTACCAGGGGTCCTCTCTATTATCTTATTATCTGTATTATCCAAGATTTTGTAGGACGAATTATATTAGAAATTATTGAAGAAATAGGTATATGCCTTAACTGCCACATATAAATGAAAATTTTAATAGAAAGCATATTAAGATTGCCCATATAGAACATATTAAGATAAAGTCAGAGTTATACAAAATAATTATTCTTATTTAAAAATCCACATCTGCTCTGTATCATTTATTAGTAGATGATGTCTAGTCTTCCAGATTCAGAAGTCTGTGCTCCCCGCAGATTTCTGGATCATGATGAAAAAGAAGGACAAAGAACAAAACATCTGCTCATGTATTATTTATAAATATTGTTCTATTAATTTAAAAGTATTTCCTGTGCTTCAATATGGTGTTGAGGTTAAGTCTTGGGTTAACTGCAAGGTCAGTGGTTCATACCCACCAGTCAATCTACGAAAGAAAGATGAGGCTATCGGTACCTATATAGATTCACTGTCTTGGAAACCCTGATACATGAGTTGCAATCAACTAGATGGCAGTGGGTATAGATGAATTATCTGGATAATTTATCTATGTAACATATAGATTCTAAAAACTCTATTGAGCTACTATTTGAGTTCACCAAATACTAAAAATTCTAGACATAATGTGGAAGTAAATTATAATGCTCTCATTTAAACTAAGACAATTATCAGGTAGCACAACAAATGATGGTTTCCAATAGTAAAATAGCTAACGTATATTAACTTAAAGCACGGACACCTTCGAAAGTATACACTGCTTTCATTCCTTGTTAATATTTAGTAATGTAATGAAACATTTTTATTCCTGCAAACTTTAGAAAACAAATTTGAATCATGCATTGAAAAAAATATTGGGCAGTAGTATTATACCTACAATTAACAAAATAAAACCACATTCTCACATAGGTCTAAACTCTAATAAGATTAAAGGTAAAATATATATAATTACTCTTTGGGGGCATATTTTTGGAAAAGTTCATAATCTCAAAGTTTGCATTTTCATTATAAGGCCAAAAATGTAACAGCATGGAAAATAAATTTTAGGTACTACACAATGTCTGGTTCTCGAGTAAATTTTTGTACCACTAACAATATAGCAAGTCTCTACCTGTGAATATTTGTTTGAATCATATTATATAAATAACTACATAAAGCAAACCCACCTAAGATTCTTTAACCAATAAATTAGGGATGGCATGGCGAGCACTACCACCCACGTTAATAAGTTAATCACAGTGCTGTGCATGCGAAGACTATCCTCCGCATCGCTAGCTGACAAACGGACACGGTGTTCTCTGGAGTCCTTATGGAGACTGGATTTCTTTTCACTTCTTCTGGAGTGTTTGGAATTCTATAAAGCAGTAGAGTGAAAATATTAAGAAACTAAACAAAGATGCTGTTTTATTTAGGAATACAATTATTTAACAGCTAGGTTAGTATATCTTTTAATTATTATAATGATAGGAAAGACTGAAATTATCTTGTTTAAAATGTACTTTAAAATAGTTATTAGTTACAAAATTTTTATTTTGGCTTACTACTTCTACAACTGGAAGTATCACTTCATAGTGTACAAAAACACAGATACTGACAAAGATCAAAATGCAGTGTGATCTAAATGCAATATAATATTCCTTAGGCTCACTTAGTCATTTAAACTCAAAGTAATTAAAAACAAAACACTGTACAGTTCTAAAATTTCTTACCCCCCAAACACACAAACTTGTATTTTACCCCGTTCTTCTACATTAAAGTGATGTAGAATTGTTTTTTTTTTTAATCAATTTATTGGGGCTCATACAATTCATCACAATACATAGATCAATTGTGTAGAGCACATCTATACATTTGTTGGTGATGTAGAGTTTTAAAAATAAAACTTACCACAGTCTGGCTACTTTTAAAAGTCGTTAGGCTGGCTTGCAGATGAACAATCTAGGAAAAAGAATTGATTTTTAATGTTTCTTTTCTTTTTAAACACTTTTATTACAACTGAGAAGAATTGTAACTTGAAAATTAAAAATATCTTAATTGTAAATCCATCTAAACATTTAGCTTAATTCTTTAAGAGAGAGAGAAAAACACACACACAAAAAACTATAAATGCTTGCTATTGTGGACTAAAACAAACCACAAAGTAAAACAAATGTCCAGAGTAAACTGGGGCCAGGTTGTGCTGGCACACCACTTAAGTTTATCATTACCGTATATACTCGCTTATAAGCTGACCCGAGTATCAGCCAAGCACCTAATTTTACCACAAAAACTGCGTAAAATGAAGCCTTGTAAGTTGTCTTATGATGCCTTGTGAGTTTTGAGTTATTTTCCATACAGTATAAGTAGTTTAACACATTCTACAATTTTAATCTTTAAGAATCTGAATTCTATTTGTAGTTATAAAATGTTTAGACTCTAAGGAAATCTTTAAGCTTAATTTATTATTTCTTAAATTTATTTAAGTATTTTAACAAAGTTTTGATTTAGGGTTAGGTGTTTTAAATAATTTTTTTAAACTAAAAATATATTTATAAATCAGTTTTTTCTCATGCACATAAATTTCCTTTGGAAATAAAAAAACCCAAACTGATAATTATCTGTAATATGTAGGTATGAGCATTAAGGCAGAAGCAAAAAAATGATAAGCCTCAAGTGAATCCTCACTGACCATAGACCAGGGATGTGAGTAGCCTTGCTATCATGCAGCGTGCAAAGGAAAGTGGATTGTTATAGACACAGGTAGGTTAAAATCATTTGACCTCCCTTTTGACCCATTTTAAATTTGCTCTAGCTATTAATATTTCCTGCATTCTCTTTAACTGAGGTTTTTCTCTGGTTTATTTTGTTATTATTGTTTTGGGGTGCTGTTCTTTTTGGTATATTTTTCTGCATATGAAATCCAGGATCAGTAAATCTGTAGGGACAGAAAGTGAATTTTATTTTATTTTTTTTAGGAAGTGGATTTTAATGGTTTCCTGGGGGCATGGTAGGCACGGGTTAGGGGGAAATGAGGAGCTAATAGCAATGAGTTTAAGAAGGAAGAAATGTTCTAGAACGGGTTGTAGTGATAACTGTACAATTGTTTGAAATATGATTGAAATATCAAAGTGTATGTTATATGGATTACATGTCAACAAACTATTATAAATAAACGCTTATCAAAAAATAATTATCCACTCTTATATCAACTTTCTCTCTAAAACATTAATATAGAAGCCACAGAGTTAAGCTCCCAGGCTATTCCTGCGAAGCTGTCAGTCTTCTGGCAAATGTTTTTCACTTCATCAGTAAAATTATCAATCCAATTACTTTTATAACTGTCTCAATTCTTCAGCTACATTTGTAGCATTCTACATTATCTTAGCATGACTGATTGCTTAATCCCACAGACTAATTTTTTCTTTGTCTATCACCAAGTTTTTTCTTTGTCTATCACCAAGTTCAAAAGGAAGGTGTTAATAAAAATTACTTTGGAAAAATTCATTTAAAAAAACAACAACATAATTTGCAAGAAGAGAAAGCAACCAGAAACAGATAATTTTTGTGTTTGTTTGCTATCAAAGAAATCTAGCTAAGAAAAAAATCATTTCAGTTCTAGAGTTAATTGTATAAAACTTAAATAGCAAAGCTTAAAAAAAATCATTTTATTGGGGGCTCGTACAGCTCTTATCACAATCCATACATACATCTATTGTGTCAAGCACATTTGTACATATGTTGCCGTCATCATTTTCAAAACATTTTCTTTCTACTTGAGCCCTTGGTATGAGCTCATTTTTCCCCTCCCTCATGAACCCTTGATAATTTATAAATTATTATTATTTTTCATGTCCTATACTGACTAATGACTCCCTTCACCCACTTTTCTGTTGTCCATCCCCCAGGGAGGTGGTTACATGTAGATATAGTGATCGGTTTCCCCTTTCTTCCCCCACCTTCTCCTCCTCCTCCTGGTATTGCTACTCTCATTACTGGTCCTGAGGGGTTCATCTGTCCTAAGTTCCTGTGATATGAGCTCTTATCTGTACCTATGGTCATGCTCTGGTCTAGCCAGATTTGTAAGGTAGAATTGGGATCATAATAGTGTGGGGAGGAAGCATTAAAGAGCTAGAGGAAAGTTGTATGTTTCATCGATGCTACACTGCACCTTGGCTGGCTCGTTTCTTCCTTGTGACCCTTCTGTAAGGGGATGCCCAATTATCTACAGATGGGCTTTGGGTCTCCACTCTGCACTCCTCCTCATTGATGTGATTTTTTGTTCTGGGTCTTTGATGCCTGATACCTGCTCTCATCGACACCTCATGATCACACAGACTGTTGTGCTTCTTCCATGTGGACTTTGTTGCTTCTCAGCTAGAGCCGCTTGTTTATCTTCAAGCCCAGATGCTATATTTTTTGATAGCTGGGCACCATCAGCTTTCTTCACATTTGCGTATGCACTCATTTTGTCATGTCCGGAGGCTGAGCATCACAGAATGCTGGGTTATTAGAACAAAGTGTTCTTGCATTGAGGGAGTACTTGATTAGAGGCCCAATGTCCGCTTGCTACCTTAATACTTAACGTATAAATACATGTACATAGATCTACTTCCTTATCGTTATATAAAAACATATTTACATATGTGCATGGCTGTATTTAGACCTCTATAAATGTTCTTTGCCTCCTAGTTCTTTCCTCTATGTCCAGCAAAGATGTTTTTAAAAATTCACACATACTTATTACATGACAGAAGATTATTACATCAGTAACTTAAAATTCTTAACAGTATTTACAGGAAAGGCTATATCTGCCTGGCACAAAATGTAGGCAATCCAGTTTTATTATTTGACATACCTTAAATACATAATAAAGATAAGTAAGAAGTATGGCAAATGCCCCACAAGTTGCCCAACTAACTGTGATCAAAATAACTGTCAAAAAGGGCAAGTCCGGTGTTAGCACCCTGATATCTTTCGGAAGTTCAGAGGGTCTGGAATAACAAGAATAAAGCCTTTAAACACATATATATATTAACAGTTAATTATATAACCACATATAAGAAAACAATTACCTTGCCAGCCTCTCTCCTGCTCATTAATACGCAAGCATCAAAAGGTAAAGAGTAAGGCATTTTTGATAAAGGTAAATGGTTACAAATACTAGAGTCTAAGTTCTGTACCACTGTGGTGGCTCTATTCCATTGAGAGACACTATGGCTGATAAATACACAAAGGGAAAAAAAGTAGAAATACTCCTTAACTAAAAGGCCTTTCATATATCTCCAATCCGGACACGAGGAGGAACAATTTTCTTTCTATTTCTTACAGACTCAGCTTCACTCAGATGCTTGTTGTTCATAACAAACAAATCAGATAAAATTTCCCATCATAATTCTTCCCATGGGTCTGGGTGAGGAAGAGTAGCAATCTAAACTAGTTCAAAAGTTACCAGAAAAGGCTAGCAGTAATTCAGGTATAACAAGTCTTTGGTCTATTAATAAAACTCCTGGCAACACTTTTGGAGCTCTTACAACATCTCATCTGTGCTGATTCTAAAGATCTTGATTGGAGTCTTCTGCCTTCATGTTTGCTATTAGAAGTTATCATATAAAAGCATGGCCTGAGAAGACTTTCAGCACAGACATTAAAAACATTTTTATATAATTTGTCACATATTTTTACTAGCTCCTTGGCACTAAGGTCAAAATCAAATATAATATTTGATTTGCAATAAATTATTTATTTTGGCAATGACAACTTATTTGAAAGCAAATCTATGCATTTGTTAGCTAGAACGTTGACTAAAAACAAATAAATTTTAAAGTTCTTTTTAAGAATATACATGTATTTTTATTTTCTCAGTGGCAATGACAAAGTTTCCAGTGCTTCACTTTACCTTTTCAAAGTTAGCCACAATGAAGAGAGGAGCCTCAGAGATGTAGAAGAGAGGAGGCCACCCCAGTAGGCAGTGCAAGTTCCAAACAGAAAGAGAATCAGGGACACAAGGGGGAAACACATACTCTGACTAGTTAAGAAGATGGCATCTAATTCTGGTAACAATAATGTGTCCCACAATTCTTTAAACCATTTGTACCTGTAGAAAAAAGAAAACATACAATAAGAGATAACCAAAAACAAGAAAATCAACAACTGACATTCAAAGATACACCATTTGAGGTGTTTGATCATTCACTGGAGTCCCTAAAGTCCTCTGATAAGTCATAATTTAAATTTTCCGAAAAATAAATTTTAATCCCTTGACTAAAACACAAGTCACTGATCTTGCAAACGTGCCTACTGATAACCAGGCAGCAGAGCCTCACTGAAGCTTAACTGCTTTCTATTGATCCTTGTGTCGTTGTGGCTTTTATTGTTGCTGTTGTGAGAAAGCAAAGAGAGCCAAGAAAGCAAAGGTTCTTAACTAAAAAAATTGCAAAATATAGGATACTCAGGTCTAAAATATGGTTGGTATGGAAAACAAGAGAAAGTGATCTGAAGCAATGTTTCAATCAACATCCTATAATGATTTATATTCACAAATCTGGGATTTTCAAAGGTCACGCAAATGTTATTAAAGGGCTCCTGTGTTTATACTATAAACTTGGATCGATAAGTGTTGTTAGTTGCTGTCAGTAGATTCTGAATCATGGGGACCCCTTGTGTGTGCAGAGCAATTTGTAAGTACCATATTTACTTGAGTATAAGCTAACATGAATATCAGCCGAGGCACCTAATTTTACCACAAAAACTGAATTAAAAGTGTGCTGAAAAACTTGGCTTATACACAAGTATATATGGTAGATCTCCAAGCCTATCTCACCAGGCAGCTCCGAATGGATTCTAGCCACCGATTTCTTAGTTAGTAAATGAACCCTTAACCACATGTACCATCTGGGTGTTAGGCTGATGTGCCTAAAGTTGAACAATTATTTTTAATATAAACATTTTATTTATAAATATTTTTAAATACAACTGAAGTATATGTTGACAAACATATTAGATCTTTATCTAAATAGAAAAATTTCATTGCATGAAAGTTGATCTCCATATTTGTTTAAGAATGTATATTACATATGGAATCAAATTTTTAAAAAATATGAAACAAAAGGAACATTACTATTCTGATGCTAAGACTTACCCCAAGAGAAACTTAATCATAATCACAAAAGGATCAACTTTGTAAGGTTTAGCTTCTTTATCCAACATAACAGAATATTCTAAACATTGGCCTGGAATTTTAAAAAATTACAAGAATTAGGGAATTTCTACTCAGTAAATATAGCACATCATATATAATACCTTGTCAATAAGAACAACACATTCCATGCCAGAGAAAGCAAAGGTTTTCATTATAATCACAGAGACTCCTCTTGAGAGATTAAATGTTACTGCAACAGAGTTTACAACCAAGAGTATACTTGTGAAGCTTTGGAAACAAAACACACCAGCTGCTCCTTGGGAGAAAGATGAGACTTTCTACTCCACTGAAGAGTTACAGTCTTGGGAAACCCACAAGAGCAATTCTATCATTTACTCAACAGAAGTGAGGTTGTTAGGTGTTTTTTTTTTTTGAGGGAGAGTTTTGTCTATTGTATTATAGACTCTACATCTGCCTCTCCAGAACCATTCTCCACCTGTCACCTTGCTCTAAGTCCTGGGAGGCTTGACTTTTCGTGGACTGACTTCTGGTTAGGCCCAATGGTATACCAGATGGCTCTGTTGCCAGCATAGGAATCAGGATGGTACAAAAGAAAATTAGTAAGTAGATTTGTTATGAATTGTGTCCCCCAAATATGTGTTGAAATACTAACCCCAGTATCTGAACTAAGACTGTTTGGAAGTAAAAATCCCTTTCTTTTTTTATATTAATGAGGGTATATCAGAGAAGGATGTACCCCAAAATTTCATCACTTCTGAGTTATAAAAGGGCAGAATAAACAGAGACACACACGGAGGAACAAGGAAGGCAGATTACTGAAACAGATGCATCTACAAGGACACTGGCAGCTCCCAGAAGCTGCAGTAGACAAGGAAGGACCTGCCTTTAGAATCATGACCGGTATTTGAACTTCCAGCATTCTGAAATGTGAAAAAATACATTTCTCTTCTTTAAAACCATCCACTTCTGGTAGTTCTGTTATGGCAGCACTAAGTAATCCAATTGAAAATATTTTGTTGAATTATTGAGATAGGGAAGATTATGAATAAAATGGGACTGAGTGCCTCCTGATAGACCAGTGGTTCTCAACCTGTGGGTAGTGACCCCTTTGGGAGTCGAACGACCCATTCACAGAGGTTTCCTAAGACCACCAGAAAACACATTTCCGATGGTCTCAGGAACCAAGACACCACTCCTCGATCCGTCTCCAGGCGGATCCGCCACATACAGATACGCCCACATGAGTACTGGGTGTGATGACATCATCGCACCAACCCCATCACATACACCCTGTACAAATACAGGTGTATGTGACAGGGTTGGCGCCATAATGTACTTATGCGGACCAGTCACACACGTGTAGAGAGCAGCTGCTGTGTAGAGAGCAGCTACTGTGTGAAAAGCAGTAGTAAAACGACATGTCACGAATTACAATTACTGGGTTAATGTAAAATCATGTACTGTAAAATCATCAACTACTGAAAAAAAATCTGCACCATGGGAACTTAATCTGGATGCTGATTGGTCTTTTTATATTCAGCTGGGGTTATATTCAATTGTAACAATTAAAATACATCCTACATATCAGATATTTATATTATGATTCATAACAGTAGCAAAATTAGTTATAAAGTTGCAACCAAAATAATTTTATAGTTGGGGGTCACCACAACATAAGGAGCTGTATTAAAGGGTCGCAGCCTTAGGAAGGTTGAGAATCTCTGTTATTGACTTATATAACACCTCCAAAGCATGAGGGTGGGAGACAGCCTGAACAGCAATATGAATTTGATAAAGCCTCTGGTTCTAATTACCAATTTATAGAATCAATACATAAAGTAGAAGAATACGCTTAACAAGGATGCAAGTAGGAAACTTGCATAGTACAAACCAACAGTCTGTTCAATAAATAAACTGAGAGAAAGGTGGGGCGGTGGGGCGGTGGGGGGAGATGAAGATTGAGAAACATAAAGGAAAAATTATAATATGCGAATCTTACATGGATACTGTTAAAATTATTTTGAAATACTTCATTTGATAACATTAAGGCATCATTGTTATTTTTTGGTGTTTAATAACATTGAGATTAATGTTTTATCTTTTTTAAGAGATATAAATACAGGGGAAAAAATTACCTTGTTCAATTCTTCCATGTAAGTCAAAACACCACTACCGAAACATAAACTATTTGAGTTAACATGGATACAAATGTGACACCCTAAGAAAAAGTGAATAATTTTCAGGACTTGGGACAAGCCAGGTCCAAAGACATAGAAACTCAAACCCCCAACTCACTACCGTCAAATTGACTCCAACTGAGACCCTATAGAGCAAGTGAAACTGCCCCTCTGGGCTCCCAAGACGGCAAGTCGTTATGGGAGTAGATGGCCTCGTCTTTCTCCTGTGGGGCGGCGGGCGGCTTTGAACTACTGACCTTTCAGCAGCCCAACACATAACTCACTATATACATCAGTGCTCTAAAAAACAGAGGAAAGGTTGGTAATAGAATCACCCAATACTTTGGAGTTTTTAAGTAGTTGTACCTACTACTATATAGCTGGTTTTTTGTTTTTTACTATATAGCTGTTTTTGAAAACTCCTTGGTTATGTTTCCTAACAAGCAACATCTAATATAATAGAATTAAAGCACACATACTACATATATGCATATAAATAAAAACAAGGCTGTCCGCTCTCATAAAGAGTGACAGCATTGGAAACCCTGTACAGTTAGGGTCACTAAGAGTCAGAATCCACTCAACGGCAGTGGGGTTGGGATATACTGAAAACTAATTGTTGTTCTACTTTAACATTCATAACAGAAATTGACAAAAAATTACAAGCGTTCTTACCTATTGAGAGAAGAGAGTATAACTGTCCCCCATAAGCAAGAAGGATGCTCGATACAATGTAGGCAGGAAGAGCTCCACCATGGAATCTAACTACCTGAGAAAAGAGGCAAACCAATGGGCAACGTCTCAATATTAATGTTGATAAAGGTTTTCTGAAAAAAAGTAGAAATGTTTTTCTTCACTTCCCGCCCTTACTGACATAACCACAAAGGTAGTTCTTTCTAGTAATGGGTATAAATCTCAAAATAAATGTTAAGAACACACAGCTTCTGAGAAACATGTTATCTTAATTTTTTAAATCAATGACATCATATAGTTGATTAGCATAGGCTATCACATGGCTCTTAAAGTATTCACCCGCTCCAGGTACAATGCTAAACACCTGACACGTTGCACCACCTCATGCTTTCTTCCCCCAAACTCTTTGAAGTAGATTCTGTTTCTATATTTTCTGGACAAAAAATCAGTTGCAAGAGCTCAAATGATGTGAATAATCAAAAATAAAACATACAGGCAAGTTATTTACTCACCCCTCTACGAGGGGTATTGCAAAAGTTTGTGGAAAACTGGAGTGGAAACACAATGAAATTTTTCCAGGAACTTTTTGACACCCCCTTGTATGTCCCCATCAGTAAAATGGAGATAATAATAGTATTTATCCTTCCAGGCGGGTGTGAGAATTAAATGTGTCCATTTAGAATAGTAACTCAGATGTGATAAACGATCAGAAAATGCTAGCTTCTACTATTAACTTCTTTTGCTCTTCACTGTCTTTAGAAATCTATGGAACTGGGATTGAACACATTATGTTATAGTGCCTTCAAAGCACCCATCTGTAGTATTTCTGTTACCGCAGCACTAAGCAATTAAGATAAGGTTTAAGATAAATTGAAAATGTCTTGATGACAATTAGGAGAGGAGTATGACAGAACCAGGACTGTGTGCCCACTGTTCCATCAGCATTCTCGAGAGTGAGTGTGGGAGAAGGAGCTGCTCCAACCTCTGTATAAAACACGCATGTTTCTACAGCAAAAAAAAAAGTAATAAAAAAATGTTAAATATTAAAAAGAAATGTACTTAAAACATGTTCTCCAGCTTACAGAATTTCTAAGGAGCAGACATAAACTCTGCTGGCAATCTGATAAATACATAGAAGTCCATGCCCACATAAATATGGGTAAATGTGAGGGAGCTCAGGGTCTCCCCGAAGCTGCTCCATGGATTCTCTTGTTAGAAGAGATTAGAAAAATTAAAAACAAAATTATATCCTTTACTTGTGATTGACAAGTTGTATTTTTGAGTGTAGGAGGGAAGAGTCATAGGAAAAAAGGTCCTTTTTGCACGCTGCATGATAGACACTGTCTGCTAACGACATACGAGGAAAGGAAACACACCCCATAATTAGTTATCAAGAATATGGAAGGAAAACTAAGCTGCAGAGCTGCCTCAGGAGCCATACTGCTGGATTTAAACTGCAGCTTCACCTCTCAGGAGCTCTGTGTCCTGGGGCAAGCTCCCGACGTACTACTCCTTGGTATGTCCCCACCAATAAATGGAGCTAATAACGCTTCAAGGGACTGTGAGGATTAAATGTGTAAAGCATTTCGAATAGCAACTGGCATATGGCAAGCAATTAGAAAATGCTTGCTGAAATTACTAACCTCCAATACCCTTCACTGACTTTAGAAATCTTTTTTTTTTCTTTACTTTAGAAATCTTTAAGTCCTACATAGGGTATTCTCTATATAAAGTGTTTCATTGTAAGGGAATTAAATGTTTTACTGGCCTAGAAAAACAGCTGGTAAAAGATAAGACTAAGTCAACAACTGCAAATTGGCCTCCTTGGAACAAACTCAAACTTGGATGTGCTTCCGCTAGTTTATTATATGCTACATTATTTAAACAAAAAAATTGACACTGAAGACCCAACCAGACCTCACCTTTAAAGCCTATCTTCCTTTACAGTGTAGAGATCTGACAACACTGGACTTCATTTCTACCATAAATTTATTTACTAGATTTTCTTGAGAAAGTAACTTTCAATTTACTTTTTAGTCTGTAAATATCTTGTGGGGAACAGAAGGAATTCTCTTAAGTTGTCTCCCCAAAATATGTACCAAACTTAACTGCTTAAGAGTGACTGTACAATAGGTGATCAGCGAGAGTAGGTCAGAGGTTATTCTCCTCTGTAGTGGCTAGACTATTAGTCTGACTCACCCTGAATAAGACCCACTCCCTTCTGATAAGGATAATGGTGGTCTATTCACTTGCAAGAGAGGGCAAACCCGCCCAAGGGTGACCAAGGTTAGTTAGCCATTATCAGCTGTCTAGATCAAGCAGACACCAGTCTATTCCACAACCAATGTGGGCACACCCCCTAGGTGATTCCTCTCCTATTGATTGTATTGCCTATGTTAATATCCCTCCTGGTGACTCAGGTTATTGTCCACTATCAGGGAACTTGCATGCCTCCCAGAATAGTAATTGTCTGTTTTATTATGTGAGACGTTAGAGTGATCAAACTTGTTCTAGAATGAATTGTATTGCACCTTTCTGTGATGTATGACTCTATGATGCGTGGTTAGCAATAAATAATGAGGCTCCCTGGTTCTCAAGAGGGTGGCTGGCCGGAGAGTAGCTGGCCAGAGGGTGGCTGGCCGAGGGTGGCTGGCCAGAGTGTGGCTGGAGATGGTGACTAAGGAGGATGAAGCAGCGGCTTCTTCTCTGACGGCTAAGCCCCCTCTACGAGGACCACCAAGCTGGGCTGAGGTGAGCAATGTTGCTATGTATCATGTAATGTCTCTGACTGTATTATTGTAATAACTCTTATGCTCTTGATGTCTTTAATATAATACTTATATATCTCAACCGTATAATTGTGCATTACTGAACCCAGAAGTAGTATTACTGAACCAGTGAGTTCTAGTACCGGGTGGGGCTGGCACCTCACCCCCCCAGAGACAATTTTATTTAATACTACAATATCTTTTATGAGAAAAAAAATATTTTCAGAAATTATCTATTTAAAGGCCAAAGATTCTCAAACTTTCTTTTTTAAAAAAATATTTTAAAATGATGTTGTGTGTGTGGAAATTCCCTGTAAGGGGAGAGTTGAACATGAATTGAAGATCAGACAAATTTAATTGTCACATTTATTTATGAACAATGAATGTGGACAAAGGTTCACTCATTACATAGTTACTCAGATAAATCAAAGTGATGGGAAACTATATGTAGAAAAGATTCCCCTCGCGGATAAATAATAGAAACAATATGTAGAAAAGATTCCCCTCACGGATAAATAATAGAAACAATATGTAGAAAAGATTCCCCTCGCGGATAAATAATAGAAACTATATGTAGAAAAGATTCCCCTTGCGGATAAATAATAGAAACAATATGTAGAAAAGATTCCCCCCACGGATAAATAATAGAAACAATATGTAGAAAAGATTCCCCTCGCGGATAAATAATAGAGCACACCTAATCCAATTAAGTCTTACTAATACAGTGAGGTATTACACTTGCGTCAAACCCATGATTCTGCTTTTACGTGAATAAAAGTAAAAGTATCCAAGTTTAATGGCTGAAGCAATGAGGAAAGTGGACCAAAATTTTATAGAGATAATATTTTTCTAATGGAAATAAAATAGATGTGCAAGTTAAAATCAGTTTTTTGTTTACACTGGTTTCTCTTTGCTCATTTTCCCTGAAGTTACCAACATCTTTAAAATGGGTATTATTCACCAACAAGGAGAGCAGAGATACCAGGAGGATTAGGGGAAGGTTGGGGGACAAAAGGGGAATGGATCACAAAGATCGATCTAGAACCCCCTCCCAGGGGGGCAAATAATGGAAAAGTGGGCGAGGGGCAACAGAGGACGATATAAGATCTTGAAAAAATAATCTATAACTTATCAAGGTTCGTGAGGGCATGCGGGCCGGGAAGGAAGGGGGAAGAAATGGGGAGCTGGTATCAGGGGTTCAAACGGGAAGAGAATGCTTTGAAGATGATGACATATGTGCAAATGTGCTTGACATACTGGAGGAATGTATGGATTGTGATGAGATATAAAAGCCCCCACTAAAAGTATTTTTTTTAAAAAATGGTATTATTCCTAAAAAGTAAAATAAAATGTACTATGAGCTTCAATTCATTTTCTTATGGTCCCTGAGCTAAAATTCCAAATAAACTTTAAGAAAGGCATCTTAGACGTTTCTACAATTTGAGGTAATTCATTACCAAAATTTCTCAATTTCCACAAATTATTTGACATTAAAAAAAAAAGCCTCTTAATCTGATCCTTTAAAGACCACACAGTTGTATTTTCTAGAGACATTTCTGTACCTAAACAAGAATAGGAGCCTGTCTTTTTTGGGTGGATATATAATTATGCTTGATTACACAGTATTATGAGGAAGAAAGATGAGGCTGTCTACTCTGGTAAAAAATGTACTTAGAAACTCTACAGAGTAGTTCTGCTCTGTCCTATAGGCTTGCTATGAGTCAGAATTGACTGGATGTCAATGGGTTATACAGTACAAAGCTATGGGGGGAGCGGGGAGGGAGGAGAAAAAATGAGGAGCTGATGCCAGGAGCTTAAGTGGAGAGCAAATGTTTTGAGAATGATGAGGGCAATGAATGTACAAATGTGCTTTACACAATTGATGTGTGTATGGATTGTGATAAGAGTTGTATGAGCCCCTAATAAAATGATTTTAAAAAAAATCATTAATCTGAACTATCATACCCAAGGATAATATAGATAATAGACAGTACATTATATTCTTATCTAGGACACCCTAGTATAATAACATGCACTTAAGCTTACTGAAAACATATTGAGTATGAAATTTCTCCTATGTTCCAGGAAATAATTTCTCTTAATAATGGCTCCCTTGATATTTTGGAATATTTATTATAACTATCCATAATATTTTCCAGCCTATGTTAATATTAAATTTTCTCTTTCTAAGTTAGCATAGAATTCTTATACATTAACTTAGAATTTTCAAGTATTACAAATTTATTAATTCTCACCAAGTTGTTGTGGGGAATCAAGTTGAGATAATGCATATTAATTTTTAATTTAAACATTTTTGATTTTCTAGTTTTCATGGTATTGTAAGCAAAATTATAAACTTAAACGTAAAATAATTTCTGTTTGAATTGTATAACATAACAGACAAAATATATATAACATGAAAATAATAAAAATTTAAGCAAAATTCAAAATTAAATAATTTCCTTCAAATCAGTATCTTCCTTATGTCAAAATTCCAGTTTTTACATAAAAAATATCACAGTAATAATATTCCATTTTATTGCTTATTTTTTGAAACACTTGTCTGTATATTATGAAGACATTCCAAATGAGTTTAAACCACTTCAATGTTCACATTTAATAAACTATTTTTGCCTTTTATAAACTGAGCATGAGAGAGAAATCAGGGAAGAGGAGTGGAATAAATTGTGGGAGGTGAGGGTGATGAGTGATCTGAACTTTGAAGGTAAATTGATGGTCTGAAATGCAAACCATTCCACTTAATTAACTGAAGAAAAAAAAAGTTTGTGGGGCCTTTTGGCTTGGCTTCCGTGTCTCGGAAAGGCTGCCGAAGCTGTGGTCTTGACCGCCAATGTCCTTACTATCCTCCAACCTACCTCTTGATGCTGCCTAAACATGTTATTTACCTCTGTGATCCCTTCGCGCATTCTTTTTTCTTGTCTATAATCTTTTTTTTCCCCCTTTATTTTTATTATTTTTTAAAATCATTTTATTAGGGGCTCATACAACTCTTATCACAATCCATACATACATCAATTGTGTAAAGCGCATGTGTACATTCATTGCCCTCATCATTCTCAAAACATTTTCTCTCCACTTAAACCCCCGACATTAGGCCCTCATTTTTCCCCTCCCTTCCCGCTCCCCCCTCCCTCATGAGCCCTTGTTAGTTTATAAATTGTTATTTTGTCATATCTTGCCTTCTCCGATGTCTCCCTTCACCCACTTTTCTGTTGTCCGTCCCCCAGGGAGGAAGTCACATATAGTTCCTTGTAATCGGTTCCCTCTTTCCTACCCACTCTCCCTCTACCCTCCCAGTATCACCACTCACACCACTGGTCCTGTAGGGCTCATTCACCCTGGATTCCCTGTATTTCCAGTTCCTATCTGTACCAGTGTACATCCTCTGGTCTAGACAGACTTGCAAGGTAGAATTCATGTCATGATAGTGGGAGCGGGGTGGAAACATTAGGAACTAGAGGAAAGTTGTATTTTTCATCGTTGATACATTGCACCCTGACTGGCTCGTCTCCTCCCCGAGACCCCTCGGCAAGGGGATCTCCAGTGGCCTACTAATGGGCTTTGGGTCTCCACTCCACACTCCCCCCTATCAGTCACTGGTAAGATTTTTAGTTCTGATGATGCCTTATACCTGATCCCTTCGACACCTCGTGGTTGCATAGGCTGGTGCGCTTCTTCCATGTGGGCCTTGTTGCTTCTCAGCTTGATGGCCGCTTGATTACCTTCAAGCCTTTAAGACTCCAGATGCTATACTTTTTGATAGCCGGGCACCATCAGCTTTCTTCGCCACATTTGCTTATGCACCCATTTGTCTTCAGTGATCTGTTCAACACCTCATGATCACACAGGCTGATATGTTCTTCCATGTGGGCTTTGTTGCTTCTGAGCTAGATGGCCGCTTGTTTATCTTCAAGCTTTTAAGACCCTAGACGCTATACCTTTTGATAGCCGGGCACCATCAGCTTTCTTCACCACATTTGCTTATTCACCCGCTTTTGTCTTCAGTGCTTGTGTCAAGAAGGTGAGCATCATAGAATGCCAATTTAATAGAAGAACGTATTCTTGCAAGGAGGGAGTACTTGAGTGGAGGTCCAATGTCCTTCTGCTACCTTAATACTAAACCTATAAATATAGGCACATAGATCTATTTCCCCATCCTCATATAATATATTTGTATATGTACATGTCTTTATCTAGACCTCTATAAATGGCCTTTGCCTCCCAGCTCTTTCCCCTATTTCCCTTGATTTTCCTCCTGTCCCACTATCATGCTCAGACCCCACCAGGATTTCAGCACTTCCTCTTTGTTACATTCCCCTCGATCATGCCAGGTCTCCCACACCCACCTCCCCACCAATTTGGATCGCTTGTTATTCCCTTGTCCCTGGGTTTGTTAATACCTCTTCTCTTCCCACATTCGCACATTCTTAATGACAAAAACAACAACAAAAGCCAAAACCCGACCATGTAAAGTTCTTTGAAAATATTCATTTATGTGGCACAACTCAAATTTTATTGGGCAATGAATTATAGTATGAGGTACAAAATCTTAATTTGATAATCATGTTAGCAAAAATACTTATAGTTTGTTTGCGGATTAGATATCAGCTCTTTCTACAAAGAGTTTCTAAGAATTCGCCTCACCTTAAAATTAAAACATCATCTTAAAGCAAAAGCAGCAGTAGTTGGCCAACCATGGCCCACAGTCCAAGAACAATTTGGGAATTTGTTTTATTAACATGAGAGAAGAAAATGAAGCAGTAGCCATGGTAACAGAAATCATATAGGGTCTGTAAAGTCTAAAATCTTTATTACCTGGGTCTTTATTGAAAAAATTGGTTACCTCTTGCTTACAGATTCTATTCACAAGACAGTATGTGATGAGCCAGAAATCTCTCTTACCTGTCCAAGTATTTGTGGAAAGGAAGTCTTAATTGTCACCTAGTTTAAAATAATCACACAAAAAAAGGAGGAGGTTATTTCCCTTGAATTCTGCAAATTCACATTTTGCTCCATTGAACAATTTTTTATGACTCTAAATTGAATAATTTATTATAAGGATATACCTAAAGACATTCAAGATCTTAATCTTCTGAATCATAATATTTAAATTGTATTCAGTGTAGTTTTACTTTAATTACAATTTCTTGATTGCAATTCTTTGATCACTGTGATCACTGGATGAATGCTACACTGCATGTACTAACTCTTGACAAATTAATCAGAATATTTTATTACCATTATGTCAGCAAAATAAATATTTTTGCTTTAAAAAATTAAGTACAAATTAATAAACCTACTATATAATCAGTACTTTGAAAAAATCTAAACCTACAATGATATATCTCTAAATACAAGGGTATTTCAAAACTTCTGGAAAACTAGAACTAAAAGATTATGTTGTTTTTCCATGAGGTTTTTGAAATCCTTCTTGTCTAGTTAGGCTAAGCTACTTCTGAGTAAATTTGAGAACACATTTCAAATGACTCAAGACCAGGAACATGTGAGAGCACACCCAGGAATATTTAAGCCAAGAAATCCTCTTTGACATTGGCACATTTTGGAAAAGTAGATAAATCTTTCATAGGGGTGGTTATAGTATAACGTTAATTTTTCAAAAATGAACTTTTGTGTAGCATTTGGTATTCATAAACAAATGGACATTTTGAGAGCAATGTACTGTTTGGAGACAGATAAATGCAATTTTTATTGTCTCTATAATATACCCAAATTGGAAGGCTAGGGCAAAAAGCCAATATAGCCCAACAAGATCCTTCACTGTTAAGATACCGAAGGATCCATAAAATCCAAGAAATCTAAAGTTACTAATAATATCACCCCAACTTTAACTTGGCTAGAGGGGCGGAGTCCATGCACTTGACGACACCAGTCTTTGCTCACTCTAAGAAAGTCATAATAAAGAATATCTAAGGTTGGGTCAAAACAGTTGAACAGAAATGATATGTTTCACATAAACTAGAGACCTGTGATGTCACCATCATTAAATACGTACTTTAATCACTTACACTGAAATGGTTAGACCTGGCATGTTCTTTCAGGTCATGAGTCCATACGTAAATAAAATGTAACTCTCAAGGCTATTTCCTTCTCTAACTAAAGAGGATCCCAGGAGATCAACTTTGATTGTAAAACAAACAAGTAAAATAACGTGCACCGAATCACACACATTAATGACTAACAGAACCTAAAACAATTCAGGAAGAGCAAAGATCTTTAAGCTAAGCAAAGAGAGCAACAATCAACCTGTCAATGTGATAAAAAGAACACAGACAAGACATCACATTGACTGCAGAAAAGCCTGTCAGCCGGTCTCATTACGTGCTTTATTTTTCAGTTGATTCTGGACTTGCGTTACCAAATTTAGAGGGTTAACCTGCAGTCTCAATTTTTACATTATTATTAATAACGTATCAGGATATATACTTTCAGGTAGTTCAGTTAAGCCTAATACCGAGGCCGTATGAGTTGAGAAAATGGACAAAGCTTTAAAGATCCTTATTTCTTCTAAGGTCCCTGAGGAGAGCTGACAATTTGCCTCACCTATTACAGTAAGAAAGATGAGACTAGCCTTAAAGACTTGAAGGCAGTGAGGTTTTGTTTTGCGTGTTTGCTTACTAGTGTGATGGTGGTGATCTGCTTTTGCAAAGATCACAGTGGAGAAACTCCTATGACGCAATGCTGCTCCGTAATACACAGATTTGCCACAAGTCAGAACACACTTGGTAGCAACATTGGTATCAAGTCGCTTCCAAAAATTGGCTTCCAGAGTAACATGCATTTGAGGGTAATAGAACCAAAGTATTGTCTGCTTATTTTATGGCATAACGTCAAGATTAAGCTAGCATCCTGCTCACCTCATAATGACAGTCTGACGACGTGTACATTTTCAATAATGCTACGTGGCTGTCATTTTCTGGTTGAGCAACATGGAGTTTCAGAGAAATTTCTGTGGAAGATGGAACCCTGAAACGATAATTGTCCATTCTTAAGTAACCAATTCCAGTAAATGACCACAGTTAAAGTATCTTTAGCACAATAAAAATAAAGTAATATAGAAAAAGCTAACTGTTAGACATCAGAATAGATAATGATGAATGGACAGATGTTTTTAGTTATGTGAACAGATCTTTGAGTGCCAGGACACAGGAATTAGGCAGAAGGTGGGAAAAGGCTTGTGTTTCAAGCAAATAAGGTTTACGTTATAAATACTTTAAAAAAGAATTCTATATATTATCTTCAATTATGGGCACAAAGTTATAACAAAAAGGATACATACATATTTTAATAGTTTGTGATTTAAACAATTGTACTAAACAGAATATCTATTATTCAAAAATACCAAAGTATGAAGCAAATTCCTTCATATACTTACTGTGCAATGGTTAGTGAATCTTCATAAGACCAGGGAATATGAAGTTTATATATACTAGTTATTTCTTCTGTTAAAAGAAAAAGAAATATGTATTTGTAACTTATATAAAATGCTACAAAAGTTGCTAAAACACCTAGCTATTTATACAATTACCCTGCTCATATAAAAAAATCAATAAGGTTTATGTCTTATTATAGGAAATTTCCTAAACAATGATTTAACCAAAAGATACTAGAGCAGTGGTTCTCAACCCAGGATCGCCTAAGACCATCAGAAAACACATAAATATTTCACAATACATAATTACCTATTATTGTTTTGTGATTAATCACTGTTTTAATTATGTTCAATGTGTAACAATGAAAATACATCCTGCATAGCAGATATTTACATAATTATTCATAACTGTAACAAAATTATAGTTATGAAGTAGCAACAAAAATAACTTTATGGTTGGGGGTCACCACCACATGAGGAACTGTATTAAAAGGTCTCGGCATTAGGAAGGTTGAGAACCACTGAATTAGAGCATTTGCAAAGTATTAAGTGTGGAAAAAAGATTCAACAGCTAAGTCTAAATTGCTAATATAAAAAGACAGGTAGATAAATGTGGCTATTAAAACTGAACTGATAAACATGTTCACTGTTAAGAAAGAAATCTGCCAAATTCCTTAGAAATAGAAAACAGCTTTACTATTATATAATTCATTTTACTTATTAAAAATCTTTGGAAAAGTAAAATCATTATAGAAAATTCTAGTGAAGATCTTATGACTCTTTGAATGACAAAATCATTTCTTAAATATTTTCCAGAAAATATATTTACCTTTGCCTCCTGAGCACTTGCTCACCACGTTGATTTTAAAAGCTTGGTATATCTAATAGAGTTTGCCACCAAAAAACAAATAAACAAACAAAAACAAATATTACTAGTTTGCTTATTTAACTAAGCAGTAAAGTAAAATCAAGAACGTCTTGTTATAGTCTGAACAATTACCTGTCCAAAGTTCAGAAGCTCTATATTGTAAAACAGGCCATTTGTATCTAAAACCACTTTCCTTGAAGACAACCCTGTTGAATTAATAGTACCAATATTTAACATGGATTCACTTTAAAACTCAATACACATTACACACTACTTGTAAATATATGTGATTGTGGAGATTTTTTTTTAAGTTATCCTTTCAGTAAGCATAAAACCACTGAACTAGATCACACGGTTATTCTAAGAACTACAGAACAACACTCTTACAATTCTCTGCTCTATGAAACTAACCGGCACACTAAATTGGCATTCTGTAAAACATAACAGCCATTCTTAATTTCCAGAAATAAAGCACTCACCAAAGGAAAAAAGATGAGTTACAGGAAGCTGAATAGATCTTGTTTCCCTTTTAAAGAATTCACAGTCTACAACAAACTGAAATATAAAACATTAATTTATCAGAAAAAGTAGAGATAAATTTATAGTAAAAGATCTTTATTGAATGTTAGAGTGAAAAATAAAGTTCTATAAACCTTAGTTTTGGAACAAATGTCACCTGGAACACTATAATTCTGGCGGCACTTTGAGGGTAAGAATGCCTTAAGTAGAGATTATGCTGATAAAATATAAAAAGCAAATTTTATTTAGCTTACTGGGTAATTATGAAAGGCATACTTACATTAACAATAGATTCACAGAAAAGCTTTCTTAAAGTTTTAAGTGTTTGTAATATAAGGACATTGGAGGATGGACCAAAGTAAGTATCACAGAAAATTTTGGTAAGACCTTATAGCCTTTAAATGACAGTTTATCTAAATACTTTCACAGAGAAAAGGTGGTTTTGTTATACACATATTACTTTTTTTTTTTTACACATATTACTTTTTAAACATCCCATAATAAATAGCTTATTATTATAAATTGCAAATACGTTGACTACAAAGTAAAAAGTAACCTCAAAAAAGTAAAGTTATAATACCTACATCACTACGATTTTTTAAAAAGCTTTTTATTGTTACTTGGGCGAGGGTTTACATAACAGATCATCAGTTTTACTTTCAATAACCCATAGATATTTTAGCGCATCTCCTTCATTGCACACCACTCACTGCAAAGCACTCACCCCCACCTTTCCCCTGCATCTCAAACCTCTACACAGTCTCTGCTAACCCTTCTGACCACTGTCCTTGGGCAAATGGTATCCTCTTCTCATATGGTTGACTATGTTAAGGTGTGGGTACCTCACACCTTAGTGTTTTGTTCCCATAATAGACCTATAGTTTGGCTAAAATTGAGCCACGGGCTGAGTTCCCTTCCAGATGAAGGGTGGCTACGGGCCAGAGTGTTGTGAGTTTCACCAATGTGTATCCCACAAGAACACCTGTTTTCTTTTAAATATTTTAATATTTTGTAAGAATATTTCTTTTCTAGTAATATCTCTGGGGTCCTGGAGGTGTAGAAGTTGGGTGTGGCGTTGAGCTGCAATCCTTAAGGTTGGGCAGTTTGAAACCATCAGCAGCACCAAGGGAGAAAGACAAGGCTTTCACGCCCATCAACAGTTAGTCTCGGAAACTCACGGCGGCAGTTCCATCCAGTTCTACAAGGTCCTTAGGAGTCAGTATTGACTTGATGGCAGTGATTGAGTAATAGCTCTACCACTACATTAAAAACAAAAACAAAAAACATCTCTGCTCTGGGATATCTGCAATAAGAAATGTTTCTGTTAAATGAATAATTCTATTACACGAATCATAATGCAACAAATTAATTTTGTTCTACAAGAGCCAAAAAAGAAATTGATTTATTGGTTTAGCAAGGATTTTCCTGCCCATAGAAAGCCAATGGGGTCTACCCTAGGTTATTTTGATAACTACTCCTTGGATATACTCTTATTTGAGGCAATATTGTTTGCTTGCCTCTTTAAGTGGATGTTTTGTTGTTTTTAAAAGTAAAAAATAGATCTGTAGCTACTATTAAAACTACAGTCCAAAAACAACCATAGTCTAACACATGGGGATAAAGGTAAAAAACGTGTTCGAAGACGTTTCCATACCTCTTTTAAATGCAGGGAAAAGGAGTCATTTTCATCACAGAAAACAGCTGTCAAACAATTAGAACAATGTACTGGATTATTCATTATATTTTTACAAAATGAGCTGGAATGAGCTACTGCCTGAGTCAGGAAGCAGTTTTTAAAGTCAGTTTTAGATAATTCTGTAAAGGTATTTAAGATATCTGCTTAAAATTTAGACTTTCTTTGCCTTTTGGCTTGCATAATTGAATAATAATTTTAAAAAACCCTTATGTTGTGAATTAGGTAGGGGTTTATATATCAGATTACCATTTTTGCATTCAATAACTTAAATAATGTATCAAACTTCCCAATAGCTTACCCTGACTCCAGCCAGGTCCCCCTGTCCCTTTGTGCCCTGCCCCTGCCATTGCTTCTAAAACAGCGGTTCTCAACCTGTGAGTCACAACCCCTTCAAATGACCCTTTCACAGGGGTCGCCCAATTCATAACAGTAGTGAAATTACAGTGATGAAGTAGCAACAAAAATAATTTTATGTTGGTGGTCACCACAACACGAGGAACTGTATTAAAGGGTCACGGCATGAGGAAGGTTAGAAGGATACTTTCTTGACCTTCACCCAAGTTTTACCCTTTGGCCTACTAACTTCCTCATTCCTTTCCTTCCCCTCCCAGCCCTGGAAATCACCAAAGTCTGTTTCTTTCTGTATGAAAACCTTTTATCATGATTTAAAAAACACTTTTTTAAGAGAGGTCTCATACACTGTCTTTTTGTGATTAACTACTCAAATCCATCCCGGAGGTGTTTCTTTTTCATCATTGTGATGGAATAAATTCTTATCCAAAGGGGGGCGGGGGGTGGGGTGGGAATAATCCAGAGACCTATTTTTTGTTATAAGAAACTGCAGATAATTTCATATTTACATTTCCAAAAATATATTAAGATATCAGTTGACTTAATTTTTTTATAACTGCCCATCTGAATATATACACTCTCCTAATGGGCTGTGAGATAGATAAGAAAAATTAGGAAAGGCTCAATTTATCATTCTAGTGTGAGAGGGCTGCACAGCAGCAGTCAGCAGTGCACTTTCCAAAGAACATTAAGACATATTACATATTTATTAGGCTGCTAAGAGGATCTATTTGCAGGAAAGTTCATTAATATCTTGTATTAACAAAGAGGGCCTTTTTCAAGTTTTGGAACTATGTTAGCTTTATTCAAAACCAACTCACCTGACAGAAAACCCTTAAAGAGAGCTTTTAGTATTGAAGATGTTAATTACCTTTCACCTGAGCTAAGCAAAACAAAACAATGAATCCATTAATACAAGGGCTTGTGAGACTAGGTTTTGAGAGATCTTTAAGATTACTCTCCAGAACACCCCTCTTTCCCTTTCCTTACTTCTTTTGTTTGTTTGTTTGTTTTAAATCATTTTATTGGGGGCTCATACAACTCTCATCACAATCCATACATACATCAATTGTGTAAAGCACATTGTACATTCATTGCCATCATCATTCTCAAAACCTTTCCTTACTTCTTTTGAATATTCCTAATTATTTTGGTCACCAATCTCAGTTTTTTTTCAGTCACGGAATTTTTGTACATTTATGTGATAGTGACTAAAAGCTGAGAATGCAAAATTTAAAAAAAAATTATGTCTAATCCTTATTCTCAAACAGTTCACAATCCAGCGACGGCCAAGGAGACAAGCCCAATAAATGATCATTCAATGTAGTAAGTTATAAATAGAGTATTATGGGAGTGAAAGGTTACTGGGGCTTTAAAAAGCAAGAGAAGGGACAAACATAGATTGGATCTCAAAGGTGAAATGAGGAAGGGGGAGGACACGGAGGCCTTTTTAGTTCTATCTTCTCTCTCCCTTGTCTCCAATCACCATCTTTTTATTTCTAGTCCCACTTTTCTAGCACACGCCTTATGAGGGCCCTGGTCTCTCTGCTTCCGATCTCTCTACACCAGAAATCCACTCTTTCATAACACATAGCTCTGATACCATGACTACGATGGTGATAAAAGCACCTACCCATGGCCCCCACATATGGCCTACGCTATTTTTTCCAGACTTTTCTTTCTCCTGTACCCATTGTGTCCATCCTTTCAAATTTACTATTCCTTTCTCCCAACACACCCCATGCTTTCCCACCTCCACGCTCTGCTTCCACCGTGCCTCTGTGCTTCTAGCACTTTCTGTAACAAAACGACAGAGCACTTGGAATGAGGAGAGTATCACTGAGGAACCGAATTTTAAATTTTATTTAATTTTGATTAAATAGTCATAGGTGCCTAAATTGACCGGCACAGGTCTAGAAGTTCATTCTACCGATCAAAATGCAAACTATCCTTTACCCACCAGAAACGCCACACCCACTGCCATCAATCAGTTCTGACTCAGAGCACCCCGACACAGGGGTTATGGGAACAGTCTCATCTTTCTCCTGTGGAGGGGCTGGTAGGTTTAGAACCCATGACATCGTGGGTAGCAGTTGGATGCATACCCAACAGCTCTACCAAAGACCCCTTCATTGAAGACTTCTTTGATTTTACCCGAGCTATTCTTCCCCTTCTCTTTTCATGCTCTGACAATATTCCCACTTGCATTATGTATGTTTCAGAACTTCTTTTCTTCTCTCTCTCTCCTACTAAATACATTCTCCTCCCCTTGTCTTATAACATGTAGCTGTCTGAGAACAGGGCCGACGTTTCCCCGTGTATGCACCCCCTGCAATTCCTAGCACATCATCTTATGCGAGAGGGGCTTCCAAAAGCTCATGGAAACATAGAACAAAGTAAAGAAAAGTTTCCACAAACTTTTTAAAGCTCCTTCATAGAAAGGGGTACCAAATAGTTAATTGCTTTTCAAAGACTGATTAAATGGAACCAGTTCCCACTGGGAACAAGAGACCTTGGGTTTATTCTGCTTTGTTCAAGTTACAGGGGATGACCCAGAAGACTGAACACTCGTAGGTGGTTCCTCAAACTGGCCACCGCTTCAGAGAGGCCTTAGTCAGAAGACTCTATCAAAACTTAACTTTAGAATTTAGGATGCGTATACTCCAAATATCCCAGTTAACAACATTAATTCGTTACCTTACTTCCATGAATAGATGGTACATAGACAACGAGATGCGACAAAGATGGATAATCCTGAAGCCTTAATGTCAGAGACTGAAAAAAAAAAAAGATTTTAAAATGGATTTTATCTCTTAAAGAGTATATAGGGTTCGATGCATGTTAAAAGTAAGATAAACTACACACGCTTATGTCTTGCTTGATTAGTTATAGGAAAACAGATTTCAAACTGCATTTACTTTATAAGATGTTCACATTTACATTTCTAAATTAATGATCCTACTGAAAGTCAAAATCCTAGTAGTTCTATTAAACATTGGACTGCCAAATATGTTCATTGAGCTATAGCCCTTATGTAAAATGAATGACTTTTAACACTGAATTTAACTATTCCAAACCATTACTGCCAGATTTGATGTCTTTCTTTTCTGTAACTTGTCGATTTATTCTATTATAGTGTTATAGTATTATTTCTGTATTTTGATAATACATGAAAATGAACATAAATAGTTGAATGAATGGATGCTGAAATAGTCATAATTTAACTTCAAAATAATTCTGATGCAGCCCGTGTAGTAATGAGTTTCTGGTTAATATACATAAACACCACCCTCTGGAATGTAGTTAGTGAATAATGGCTAACACAATAAGGCTAATAAGGTGCTTCAGAAAAAAACACATTCTTCTAAAAATTAAGACTTGATATTATAGTCTATGTCTTGGGGAATAACAAACTTGTCTGTTTCAATCTATGGGAATAACAGACTTGTCTGTTTTTTCCCTGGAAGTAGACAAGGGGTACGAATAACTCTATGTTATATGTGTTCTAATAATACGTTTGCACAAAGACATTCTATTTTTTTGTCCAGATGCACCACCATGGACAGGTAAGGCAGAGATGCTAACATCAGAGAACTGTCAGTGAGTGGCCCCTTCCAACATGCCCTAGATTCACCCAGCAGTGCTTGTCAGGGAAAAATTCCTGGGCTTTCCTACAGGTTTACTTATCAAAGCATCTGTTATACACTTTTAAGTTATAATGTTAAAAGGTGAGACATACTACAACTAGAGGCAAGTGAGAGTAACCATATAGCCAGCATAAAAGTTAAAGAATCAGGAAGAACTAGAATGTTCAGTTTATCTACTCTATTACATGCATACACACCCACTGAGTCAATTCTTACTCATAGCGACCCAAAATAGGATCTTTGCGGTGCTCCGTGTTTAAAGGAGTAGTTAACTTTACTTTCCCGTGGGGAGTGCCGGAGGCCTTTGAATTGCCAACGTTGTGATAAGCCGTCCAACACTATTTACTAGCTTCTGACTATGATCAAGAATGAAAAGTGCTAGATTTTAAAGTATTATGCTGTAGGTTCCCATCTATGTTACTAACAGTTTACTAACTAGGGCTTCCTAACAGTTCAGTTTACAGAAATTCCTGAATGTGATTCTTAAATGACATTACTTTTGCTGAGACATTACTATGAAAAACACATTTTTTTCTCTTTAATATTTCCTTTCCTTTCAATTTCATGCCCAAATAATTTTATGAGCCTTTTATAAATGGCTAACACAAATTAAACAAAACTTTATTTACATTTACCACTTACAATTCTCTTCAGCCGTGAACACTTAAAATTGCAGAATATTCTAATCCTTATCCGATAGCTTCTCCCCGCATTCACTATCAAAAGCAAGCAGCTGCAATAGTTCATTTTCCTGCTGTTCCGCCAGCTGTTTCTCACACTCAGAATGAACAGGGGAGGGGCCCCAGCTAGCTGACTATACTGCTTAATCTATGGAGCCTTTCTTTTTAATAGGGATTTTATGATTTGAGGACTACCATTTAAATAACAGGCAACATACATTTTCACAGGTTGCTGCTGTTTATGTTTCTTAAATTGTGGTAAATAAGGTTATTATGAATTGAACTACATGGCAGTGTTTTTATTAATTTTGGTATATGCAACAAGGAGTCCCAGTAGCATAGTAATTAAACCACCAAGGTCAGCAGTTTGAACCCACAGGGCACTCTAAGGGAGAAAGATGTGCCAGTCTGCTTCCCTAAGGATTAACCGCCTTAAAAACCCTATGGGGCAGTTTTACTGTCTCCTTCGGGGCTGCTGTGAGTTGGAATCGATTCCATGGCAGAGGGGTTGGATCGTCAAAACAAAACAAAACCCCTACTACTTCAATAATCTTCAGGTACAGTTTAGTGACAATAATTATGTCCTATGAGCAGTATACACACAGGCAAACACTTTTAATCCTTCATTTTGCACTAACTCTGCATTAATCCTATACCATCCAGTTATAAGTTGGATACACAAAAAGAACAATGAAAAACCCAAACCCACTGCTTTTCAGTAAATCCTGATTCATCACGACCCTAGACCTATAGGACAAAGTGGTTTCCCCACAGGGTTTCTAGGGCCACTATGCTCCTCCTCGTGAAAGCAGTCTGCAACATCTTTCTCCCATGGCGTGTCTCCCACAGAGCAGCTAGTAGGTTTGAAGCAGCCATCTCTCAGCAAGCAGCTGAGCACTGAACCACAGCACCCTCAGGGCTCCTACAGGCGCAGTTAACTCACTGCCATCGAATGGATTCTGACTCTTAGCGACCCTACCAGGACAGGGTAGGACTACTCTTGTGGGTGTCCAAGATCGGAAATCTTCACAGAAGTGCTCATCTTTCTCCTAAGGAGTGCCTGGTGGTTTCGAACTGCTGACCCTGTAGTGAGCAGCCCAATCAGTAACCCACTGCGCCACCCAGGTTCCACTATAATTAAATGGAAGATTAAAAATAAATTATCTGCAGGTAGATATTAAGCATGTCCTAATAGTTCTGCTTGTTCTGTCCTGCCTGGAAGGTTAAGTTAAAACCAGAGAGACCTTACAAATGTTCTTATGAGTGAAATAATTTCCCTTACTATATTTATTTCTTAAGTACAAAATCATGTGAATGAATATGCAAAAATAAGATTGATTCAGGTGACGGAAAAATCGTGGAAGATTCCAAAGTCAGGTATAAATGCCTTGCAATTATTTATTCTGTCATCATTTCTCTTAGATAGTATGTTTAATCAAGACTAGACTATATATGCAAATCAAAATCAGTATTTATGATCGTAAATCAACTGGATTGGAATAGGAGGCTGGGCTAATCAGATGTTTTCACCTTCAAGTCTGAACCTATTTTTTACTATGAAGCTGTATTTTATATTTTATTGTACAGTACAGATGTATTTGATGATGGAAAATTATCACTTTGCGCTGCTAACTGCAAGGTCAGCAGTTCAAATCACCAGCTGCTCCATGGGAGAAAAGATGCAGTCTCAGAAAGCCATAGGGGCAGTTCTACTCCATTTCACAAGGTCACCATGAGTCAGAATGAACTCAGTGGCAGTTAAGTTGGCATACAATGATAGTTACAATAAATAAAGTTTTAAAAATTTAGAGATATTTTCTTTTTCAACAATAGATTTTCATAGGGAGATGTAGACAATTAATATGGCCCTTCTAGCATGATGTGAAGTATTAGAAATGCTGGCCTCTAAGTCTGTGGCTATCGTTCCATATTGGGGAGAATTGTCTTATTACGCTAATGGGCAGAACCAAAGTGAGATTAAGTCCTGATGTTAGTAGTGTATGAACCAAGTCACCACCTTTTGTTTCCTTGGGGGTGTGGTCTGCTCAAAGACAAAAACCATTCCTCATCAAAGCCATTCTTCTGTGTACAAGAGCAATCCTGGGAGCACAGGGAGAAATCCCATGGCAATCAGAAGCACCACAGGTGGCGCCTGTTGGAGATCTCTATCTGAGGTGGCGGAGGCTGAGGCCAGAGGCTATCACACAGTGACCATGGGGCAGAAGCATGGAGGTAGGCAATGACCAAAGGTCAAGGTAAGGAGACCTTGAGACAGAGCAGTGTGGAGACTATGACACTGTAAAGCAGAGCCAAGGGTGGCTTCCTGGCCCCCTGAAGCAGAAGCAGGTCCCCCTGAAGGGACCATGCAGCTGAGAGGCTGAGGATCAGAAAAGACTTGGCTGAAGAGAGGAGCTGATGTTGACCAAGGACTGTACCCTTACTGTGTACTGATCTTGGCTTGTGTTAACATGTTAATTTCCCTAACGGTCCCTTAAATTGTGAACTTTGTGAGTGAGTTCTGTGTGGCCCCTGCAACGAATTATTAAAATCAGCAGAGAAGCAGTGTCGAGGAGGAACGGTCGGCGTCAGAACAGTTGTAAAGAAAGATGGCAGTGGAGGCATGTCTGACCCTTGTCTCTTGGCAATATGGAAGCCAGGAGGCCAGTTATGGCTTCCTCCATGCCACTTTTTTGCAGATAGTATCCACATTTGTTTTTCATAAAAAGAACATGTGTAACTGCCAGAGTTGCTTAAGGAAATAATTCGTCAACTCTGATGTACAGATAAGGCGTATCAGTTACCCAAGTGTTAAATATGTGTGTCTTTGAGATGCCCATTTCCCTAATGCAGGCTCTCCCCAAAATGAACTTTGAATTTACCAGCCAGCTTATAAAACAGACCACCCAAACATGTCTTCAAATTTAATTTAAAAACCTCTTTTGAAAAAAAACAAACAAAAAAAGGCCTCTTTTGATATGATGCTTTAATATTAACGTACTTAATTTTATTTAAAGCATTATATTGTATTTTGAGATAGTTAACGTTTATTGTGCCAACATGGCCAATGAACACATGTAGGATTAATTGAAGGGCGGAGAGATAAATGGCTCGGTGAGCCTCGCCTCTCTTGTGTCTTGCTCTTTAATCATTGGAGCAGTGTGCGGCTGCCTTGCTTGTTCTTTGCCTCCATTTGCAAGCTACACTACCTGTGGGACACCTAACCCGTGCACTGTGTTGCTGTGATTTGAGGTTCCATCAAGATGGAATTTACACCTCTTAAGCTGGGGACTGGCGGACCCTGTCATCTGGCTGTTTGCTGCCTGTGCCTGGATATCCTGAATTGCTCTACAGAGGACTACCCAGTGGCCCTCAAGACTTGAAGGACTGCCAGTGCCTCACAACTGTCTCACAGAAGTGAGTTGCACTGAGCCATTTGTTTAATTTAATTAACTATTTATTTCTTATGTTACATATCTATCTATATAAGTATATATAAAATTACTAACTTTTTGGTTTTGTTTCTCTAGAGAATGCTGTCTAACATATATTTATTTCTGAAATGGAAAAATAATAATTGTACATTATTTTTCATCAAGTGACATTCTAGAGAAAATAACTCTAAGATGTAGGTCAGCAAATCTCTGATTTATTTAATAACTAAATGAATTAACAAAAATATATTCTGAAATGCCTATAATTAAGTTATCTTTTCATCTGGCTATTGAAATACTAAAGCCATAATTTACCTTAATTGTTGGTAGCAGTTCAGCTTTCCATGATAAATCAACCCCTTGCCGGCTTTGAAAAAATATGAAAAGATAATTAAAAGACAAATACATGAAGGTATTACACATTATAAATAAACTTTTAAGGAAAGAGGAATTATGTATAGACCTTTCAGTAAAATGAGCTGAGGTCTAATCCAATATATGCTGTTCATCTAGTCCCACTGTATATTAATAGTAATAGTAAAAACATTTTATTTTTCCCTAGCCTAATGTTTGCAAAATTACTGATATTATTTTCACTTATCTTTCTTTTTAAACCAATACTATAATTTAGTGTACTAACATAAGAATGTGTGAAAATGAAGTGCTGGCCCTTAGGGTCAAAAGACTCACCACATAGAAGTACTGTTTATGCATCCAAAAATCCAACTATTTGTATCCTGTTGATGAATAACAAAATAAAGCACACTAAATGGTACAGCTTCAACAGACATCTTCAACATTTTACTGTTATATAACAGGGTGAGTAGGAGCAATGGGAACATAAAGTAGCAGTTTGCTATTTAGAAATATCTAAGATGTTCTCAAAATTCCAAAAGAAGTCCAATAACAACATAGATAAGCAGGTAACCCAGAGCACAATTCCAAGGGCTCAAGATGGAAATTTGGTATTATTTCACTGCAGAGTGAAAAAGAAATTTATAACATTTTAACAATATTCTATATTTAGCTTCATAACATTTTTCTTAGAATTATAGATTGGACAATAGAAAAGTGAATCCTTTTGTTCATTTAATATTTTTATAATCCACCTAAAGGCAAAGGAATTATGCTAAGCCCTTAGAGAGAAAAGATTGAACTGGATAGACACAAATCTTTGTCCTCGTAGAACTTATACACAATTATAAGGTACTTTTCCAAAAACAAGAGAGAAAACTGATAGGAAAGAAATAAAAAATAATGGCATGCAATATACTGCCATCATTCCTCTTTGTGTGTTTAATCAAAACTTAATTAACTATACATACAAATAAGTATTTATGATCTTAAATACCAATAGAATTAGAGTAGGAGGCTGGAGTAACCAGATAATTTCACTTCCAAGTCTACGAGCCTGCTATTCATTATGACAAACTATTTGTGTAATTCCTATTATCAGTTGCCTGTATGTTTTACTTGGGAGAAAGATGGGGCTTTGAATTGCAGTCTCGGAAACCCACAGGGGCATTTCTACCCTGTCCTACAGAGGCAACATGAGATGGAATTGACTCTACGCAAGTGAGTTTGTTTTGTTTGCTGTGTTTTACAATAATGAAATGACTAGGCAGCAAAACAAATCCTTGCAGCAAAACAAATCCTTATCGTCTACATACAGAAAACCTAGCATGTCCTCAAGATTCAAGTCATTTTTCTTTCTTTTTAATTCGCTTTTGGTAATGGCCTTTTGCAGTTACTCTTAAAGGAAATCCTATCATAAAAACTGCCAACATTGCACACTACTTATTCCAGCTAAATTATTATTCAAAGCTACAGTAACACAGCATGGTAATGTAAACTCCTAACTAATTACAGAAGCATATGGGCAGCCTTTAAAGAGATTACTCAGAACTTAGTATAAACTAATTCCTGGGATACACAGAAAAGAAAATGCTTCTGATCTTAAAATTTATAAGCTCAAAAAAATTTTGTCGATAGTAAAATTCAAAGTTGCCGCACTTTTAAAATCATTTTATTAGGGACTCTTACAGCTCTTAAGACATTCCATACATTAACTGTATAAAGCATATTCGTACATAGGTTGCATCATCATTTCCAAAACACTTTCTACTTGAGCCCTTGGTATCAGCTCCTCTTTTTATTCTTCCCTTCTTCCCCATCCCACCCTTGTGAATCCTTGATCAATTATATAGTTATTATTTCATATGTTACACTGTCTGTTGTCTCCTTTCACATTTGTTATCCATCCCCTTTGGGGTGTGTGTGTTGGTGCTACAACTATATATCCAACATTGTGATTGGATACATATATCCAACTGGATATATATATATATATATATCTCCCCCGTCCCCCTCCCAGACCATCCCCCTACTTTCATTATATTGCTACTCCCACTACTGTTCCTGAGAGGTTTATCTGTCTTAAATTCCATGTGTCGAGAGTTCTTATCTGTACCAACGTGTGTGCTCAGGCCTACCCAGATCTGTAAGGTAAAACTGGGTCATGGTAGTGGGGGGGAGGAAGCATTCAGGAACTAGAGGAATGATGTGTGTTTCGTTGGTGCTATACTGCACCATGGTTGAATCATCCCTTCCTTATAACCAAGGGATGTCCAATTGTGTACAGATGGGCTTTGGGTCTAGCCAGATTTGTAGGGTAGAACTGGGTCATGGTACTGGAGGGGAGGAAGCATTCAGGAACTAGAGGAACGATGTGTGTTTTGTCGGTGCTAAGCTGCACCTTGGTTGAATCATCCCTTCCTTATAACCAAGGGATGTCCAATTGTGTACAGATGGGCTTTGGGTCTCCACTTCAGTCCTCCTTGTTCACACTGATATAGTTTGTTTTGGAACTTTTGATACCTGATCCCATCAACACCTCATAATGGGATGGTGTGTTTCTTCCATGTGTGCTTGTTTCCCTGCTAGATGGCTAATTGTTTAATTTCAGGCTTTTAAGACCCCAGATGCTATATCTTTTGATAGCTAGGCACCAACTCCTCTCTTCAGCACATTTGCTTATGCACCCATTTTGTCTTCAGCGATTGTGTCAGAAAGGTGAGTATCTAAGAGTGTAAGATTATCAGAACAAAGCGTTCTTGTGTTAAGGGAGGCCTTGAGTAGAGGCCCAAAGTCTGCCTGCTATCTTAATACTTAACATGTAAATATGTTGTACATTGGCCTCTATCTCTTTCATTATAAATTAACATATTTACATATATATGCCTATAGCTACACCTCTATAAATAGATTTTGCCTCCTATTTCTTTCCTCTATTTCCTTTCACCTTCCTCCTATCCCACTATCATGTTCACCTGCCTCCATTCGGCTCTCATTATTTCCTCTCGGATACGTTGCTCTTCATCAAACCCCACTCAACATTATACGCCCTCCTCGCCATCAATTTTAGATTTCTGGTTGTTCCCTTATCTCTGAGTTTGTTGGCTCCTCACTCCATCCCACCCCCCACCCCAATCCCATGCCGTTCTCCCCGCCCTTCCACCCTCAAACCACGGGTCCGTTGTTTTCTCAGGATTGTTCGCCCTGTCTTATATAGATAGACATAGACTGCCACACTTTCTTAAAAGTAAACTGAACATTGTCTTTTTCATGAAGACACATAATCATAACAAATTTCTTATACTCTTAGAAGTTTTAAAAATATGAAATATTTTCACAACTAGATACACAACCAGAGCAAGCTCCATTAAGACAACCATAGTAGAGAAAGCTAAAGCACACCTGACTATCGTGTTTAAAGTACTTCTAAGAACCATTAAGGAAAGTCAGACCATATAACAAACAACTACTCGAGTACAAGCTGACTCGAACATCAGCCGAGGCACCTATTTTAGCACAAAAGCTGTGTGAAAAACTAGGCTTATACACGAGTATATGTGGTCTTCAAAAATAAATAGCCTCTTCTTGGATAAAGAAATTAAGCTAAACAGGGAGTAGCTGTGAATGGTCACAGCAAAATATCCTGCTTAAGGATGTGTACCCTGGGGGCGGGGTCTTCTGTATCCCTCATTGAGTTCAATACATAGTATTTAGAATTAATTAACACTCTCAGAATATTTATTCTGAGAATAAACATCAAAGAGGGTTTCTGTCTATCAATAGCCTAGTTATTCTTTTGTATATGGATTGTTGATTCAAAAAGGAAAGCTATGATACCACTGGCGGGAGAGGAGATCTGTGAAGGCGCATTTAATGTACATAAAGGAAAAAAGCGTATCTGAGCTTCTGCCTCATACATATATCTCCATAACGCTGACATTCAGTATTAACCCGTTTTAGAAATTTCATCGATGAGCTACCCAAGGACCAGATCATAATTAGAACTGAATCTGAAGTATTCACAGGAAAAATGTAAGGGTGACTCTTATTTGAAAGAAATTTCCAACTTTAATAAGGGGGAGCCTTTAAAACATGTAAGGTTTAAAAACAGATTAGAATTCTAAAATCCCCCAAAATCTTGTAGTCTTGAGTTTGTGTTAGCAATATCAGTATAAACTCATGGGTTTTTTATTATTTAGTCTTTATTTATGGTAAATTATGGTATTATCACTTCAATATTCCCAGTTTCACAACAAAAATATGCCATGCCACTAACAGTTTTTACAATGCCTTGCATACCAGTGTTCATTTAAAAGAAACAGACAAATTTCACTGCTTTGAAATTGTGTCCAGTCACACTTAAGAAAAAAAACTTCCCATCTTAGATAATATTTGGTATTTAAAAACACTTAAAATTTCAGTATGGAAGCTGATGGAAAAGCAGGATTTACTTTTTAAATTCTTATAGGATGACTGTGCTTAAACATACCTATTCCCTAAAGTATTAACAAAATGTTAGAATTGGTAGGGCCATGTAAATTCAATTTCTTCATCCTGAATATAAGGAAATTAAAGCAAAAAGACAAAGCGAAAAAAGTCTTAAATTAGAGCCAAAAGTACAAGTCAAGAGTGTATTATCAGTTATGGAATGTCATTTCATTTTTCTATTGAAATTCTGTTCTAGGCAAATAATTCACAACTAGTGATACTGACTAACAGTCTACCACTACAGATGGGCTCTACTAGATGGTAGTCAAATCTTAAAACTGATAAATAGCTAAGCCTTTCAATTAAAATAAAACATAAATTTTCTTACCAGCATGGTACTCTGACAATACACATGAGTGTAGGTTTTTCTATGATTTGCAAGAGGAAATGTAAAATATATCTTATCAGATTCCTAAAAAAGAGACAACCATTTAATACAAGTATCATAAGAGTGGATAATTCATCATTAAAAATATATAGATAAACGCAAATGAGAATTCTATTGTTGTCAGTATTGTTGAAACCAATATTCAAGAAGTGGGAAAAAGAAGTAATACATGTAAGGTAGATGTTTACCTACTGCCAACAAGTAGATTCAAACTTATAATGACCCTAGAATCTATATACGGTTTCTGAGACTGTAAATCTTTACAGGAATAGACAGCATCACCTTTCTTCCGTGGAGCAGCTGGTGAGTTAAACTGCCAACTGTACTATTCTCAGGCCAACACAGCCACAGCGCCCCCAGGACTCCTTAAGTCAAGTTGTAAGGTTATATAAAATATATTTGTTTCCTAGCTCTGCCCATTGAAGAGGTCTAACAATGCCAACATGATAAGCAATAATTTCTAGTGCTCACATTTTTTGAGGGCCAAAAAACGTGAAGAAAACAAAAATTTTGACAATTGGAGTTATAAGCAACACCATGACAATGGGAAGATACTGAAATTGCCAACAATATCATTCTACTCACATTAATAATCAATGTCCATGAACCAGCAGTCAAGAAATCAAATGATGCATTGCATTGGGCAAATCTGCTGCAAAAGATTTCTTTTAAAATTAAAAAATGATGTTATTTTAATGACAAATGTGCATTTGACCTAAGCCATAGTTTTGTCGGTCGCCTTGTATGTATGCACAAGTCATCTAGTGAAAAGGGAAGACACGGAGAAAAGTAATGCTTTCCAACGGTGGTGTTGGTGACGAATATTAAACGGACTGTGAACTGGGAAGAGAATGAACCAATCAATCTTAGAAGAAATAAAACCAAAAGCAAGAAGGGGAACTGGTAGGGCAAGCCTTCAACTTGCCTTTTTTGCACTTGTCGCTAGGAAGGATCGATTGTTAGGAAAAAAAATTCATGTTTGCTCAAGTGGAGATCAGCACCCTTCAGGAACCCCTCAGGAGACAGAGTGACACAATAACAAAAACGACGGCTCCCACACAGCAAAGATGGGGATCATGAAGATGGCATTGGACCTGGCACCCTGTCTTGTTGTGCATGGGGTCGCTGTGAATTGATATCTACTTAACGGCAACTAGCAATTGTGCCAAGATCAGAGTTCTAACACACTCGTTCTCATAAAAAGAATCCTTGTTTGAGAAAAAGTGATTCAAGATTTAGGACCAGAAATGTAGTACAAATTGAGCAAAAACATTGAGTTATGAATGGATAGCAAGGAAATGAAAAAAACAAACTCACTGTCATGGAGTCTTTTTTTTTTTTTTTAAACATGCAAAGATAGTTTAATATTAGAAAAGCAATCAATGTAATTCATCATACACAAAATATAGGAGAAAAGCTATATGATCATATCAATCAATGCAGAAAAACGTTTGATAAAAATTCAACATATGTTAAATTGAAAACACTTCACAAGGTAGAATTGGGATCATGATAGTGTTGGGGAGGAAGCATTTAAGAACTAGAGGAAAGTTGTATGTTTCATCGATGCTACCCTTCACCCTGACTGGCTCATCTCCTCTTTGTGACCCTTCTGTAAGGGGGTGTCCTGTTGCCTACAGATGGGCTTTGGGTCTCCTGTCTTCACTCACCCTCATTTACAATGATATAATTTTTTGGTTCTTTGATGCCTAATACCAGATCCCTTCGACACCTCATGACCACACAAGCTGATGTGCTTCTTCATGTGGCCTTTTTTGCTTCTCAGCTAGATGGCCACTTGTTTATCTTCAAGCCTTTAATACCCCAGTGTCATGGAGTCTTATTCAGCTCATGGCAGACCTATTAAATGAAAAATAAACTCACTGCCATTGAGTCAAAGCTGACTCATACCAACGCCTTGTGAGCTTCGAGACTGTAACTGATTACAGGAGGTGAAAGCCCAGTTTTCCTCCCATGGAACTGCTGGTGGTTATGAACTGCCAACATGTAGATCGTAGCCCAGCACTTAACCATTACCCCACCAGGGCTCCTTACAGCAACCCTAGAGAACAGGGCAGAATTGCCTCTGTGGGTGTGTGTCAGGGTTGTATCCTCATGCCATACTATTCAATCTGTATAATGAACAAATAATGAGCAAAGCTGGATTTTATGAAGGAGAATTCAGTATGAGGATTGGAGAAAAGCTTATTAACAACTTGCAATATGCAGATGACAGCCTTGGTTGATGAAAGAGAAGAGGACTTGAAGCAGTTGCTAATGAAAATCCAGGATTGCAGCCTTCAGTCTGGGTGACAACTCAATGTAACTCAATCTCGACACGCTACCATGTCGTGGATGCCAATTTATAGTGACCCTGTAGGACAAGACAGAACTGCTGATCTTAGGATTGCAGCACAACAATGTAACCATTACGCCACCAATGCATAACCACTACACCATCAGAGAGTAGTGGTTACATGTTGGGCTCAGAGAGTAGTGGTTACATGTTGGGCTGCTAGCTGCAAGGTCAGCAGTTCAAAAATCCCCAGTCTGCTCCATGAGAGAAAGACAGGACTTCCGACTCCCATAAAGCACCCCAGTATCAGAAACTCACAGGGGCAGTTCTATCCTGTCCTACAGGGTTGCTTTGAGTCGGCATCAACTCGATGGCTGCTAACTCAATGTAAAGAAGACCCAAATCCTCACAACTGGACCAATAGGTTACATGATAAACAGAGAAAAGATGAAAGTTGTCATCTTGTTTGGCTCCACTATTGGTGCTCATGGAAGCAGCAGTCAAGAGATCAAACTACGCATTGCACTGGGTAAATAAGCTGCATAATCTCTCTTTAAAGTGCTGAAAAGCAAGGGTGTTACTTTGAGGACCAAAGTGTGCCTGAAAACCAAAGCCATAGTATTTTCAATCACTTTATATGTATGTGAAAGTTGGACACTGATTAAAACTGAAGAAAAATTGAGCATTTAAACGATGTTGCTGGTGAAGAATATTGAAAGTACCATGTATTGTCAAAAGAAAATGTCTTGGAAAAAGTATAGCCAGAATGCTTCTTAGTAGCAAGGATGGAAAAAATTCATCTCATGAACTGTGGACACATTAGCAAGAGAGAGCAGTCCCTGCAGAAGATCATTCTTGGTAAAGGCGAGGGGCAATGAAAAGAAGAAGCCCTTTAACAAGATGGATTGACACAATGGGCTCAAACACAGGAACAACTGAGGACGGTGTAAGTTCGGACGGTGCTTTGTCCTGTTGTACACAGGGTCACTAGGAGTTTGAACCAACCTGATGGCACCTAAGAAGAGCAGTACAAAAAGAGAATTTGTCCAGCATAAAGCTGAATTTGATCATACTCATACGCCGAGATCCAACTAGTAATTTACAGGAAAATGCAGGCAAAGAGACAGGTTAAATGAGACTACAGGAATGCAACGAGCAATATCTAGACTGTATGAAACGCCATAGGACAACTGAGCTCATTTCTGCAGTAAATAAACTTCAAAGGAGAGAAAAGGGTGAAGTAAGTACTATCGTTTGAAAGGGGATTAAAGAAGAAACATATCATGATTAACAAAGTGTGCATCTTGCTTGGAACCTGAATAAAACACACTGAAAGTAAAAAAAAATCAACTTATTATTAAGGAATTTTTAAAGTGAAAAAAAGGTTATGTGTGTGTGTATGCTTGTATGTGTATACTGAAATATTTTTGAAAAATACTGAAATATATATATTTCCAACATACTTACATTGTAAGCCACATATGTCCACTTGGGTACTTTTACTGGAACCCACATAGATGTCCCTAATAAATTAAAGGAAATTAATTTGGCTTATTTTTTTATGTTAAAAATGTCTTTCCTTTTTTGAATATTGACAAATATTTCTTAATCATAAAAGGGCATTAAAGAAGCTTCTCCTATGTCAGTTATTTTAAAACAGAAGATAGAGTGAGATGTTCTCTACATTCATATCAAGTAAAACATTTTAAATATAAGGTTTTGTATCTCTAAGTATGAATAGAAGGATAGTATAATATTTTTTTCTCCAAGTAATTGTTTACAATCATTAGGTAGATCAGACAGGTATTACATTTAAAAACCAAGTTTACCAGCAAAATACATGCTAAGAATCTAAAAGCAATCCAAAAAGGGCTGGACTGAGACACTGGAAGGTGTTAAGAACGCATAGCTTACTTCATGTGACAGCCAGAATAAACATTTACCCATCTCTTTAATTTCTCCACGCCATGTTAGTTTCATGACAGAATTTTTAAGAGCATCATCTTATAAATTGTTTTTCTACTTTTGACCTTCCTTTCCCATGAAATCTTGAGCAAAATCCATGAGAAACTAACAGAACTGTCCCGACTACAGCATTACAGTTTCAACGACTTGGTCTGCAAACAACAAATTCACCTGAGATGAGTCCAGAACTCGACAAAACGTGCTAATGCACCAACCTGTTAGGTCAGAAATTATTGTTGGATTTTCCTCAAAGTGTTTGGCTGGGTGTCTTATAAAATGGTGACTCAAAACTGACAATTTCTTCTTGGAATTTTGAGTTATCTAGGAAAAACATTGATAAATCCAATATCATATTTTATCCATTCACAGGAAAAAGACCTGGTCATCCACTTCTGTAAAGGATTACAGCCAATAGTTCTATATGGGATCACTGTAAGTGAAAAACAAACCTGACAACATATCATAGCCACATAAATTACAACAATTACCCAATGAAACTGCTTCAAGTGATAATGACCAACGAAACTATTTACTTACTTTAGACCAGGCATTGTTCTATGTACACAACATGTGCTAATTAGCTCATTACATCAATACATGAAATCTAGGAAACAGTAATTTTTTTAAAAGTCTGTATTTAAAATATGAAGAAACGATGACAAAATGAAAATAGGAACTTGGTCAAGGTCCCGTGGTTATTAAGAGTCTGGGCTACTATTCAAACCTAGACAATGGACCTCGAGCCCATGCTTGGAATCATTCCACAGTAGTGCCTCTTGAGTTAAGTTAGGATTAAAAATAAACATTTTAAATATTTGTAGATTAAAACAGAACTTAGGAAATCCTCTGGTCTGATGATCCCAACACTAGTTCCTAAACACCAGCCTGCGGCAACAAGATTTCACTACCCACTGAAGAAAATATAAATTCACAGCTATCTTTCTCTAGAAATGGTTCTCCTTTATTGTCTTACTCTTATGTCAAGACAATCTTTAATGAAATTATAATGAGAACAGATTTTTTGGAGTTGTCTATTTTTAAATGTCCTAGCAAAATAAAAAGTTGGCAACTATATGTCAAACCTTCCCTTTTAATAAAAATTCTAGTGGTCCATACAATCCATTTGGGATCCCTCTGTTCAATTTTCTAGTTTAAGCACTGTGACCCTCACAGGCTGAGGAATTTTCTCAATAAGAAAATGACAAAGCACAAATGAGGGCTCAAGGTTACTAATGTTTTCAAATAGCTTAGTAAGTCACCCATCCTTTGCTCACACAGTTTCGAAGTTGTTATTTTACAAGAAAGTACACTCCAATGAATAACTCTTACAATAATCTTCTTCCTGTTCAGAGCACACTATCTGATGGCTTTTTACTAAGAGACTGGAGGACTGTTTTAAAAATTTGAAGAGTCTTATGTCTCCCACTGTGGTAGTTACATAATCTTGTGACAACCTAAGGATACTAAGAGTGAAGGGGTGGAAGGCTAGCCTGTCAATCAGGTCACAGCTTGTGCTGATGCCCGCTTGTGCACTTGGCCTTGTCATGAGGATTCTGGGAACTTCCTCTCTGCAGCGGGATGCACTCTCTCTCTGTTTCACATTCCCGTTGACAGCCACGTGAGGACACGCTGATGGCAGCCAGAACCCTGGAGATGCGCCCACTGCCATTTGATCCACAAGACTTTGCACCCACAGGCCTGTGATCTTCCTGCATGCTGCATCATTGCATGTGACTGTCAGTCTGAAGAGTAATTTATGAACTAGTATCAGACTTATGGACTAATATCGGACTTATGAACTTGATTTAGATTGGGCTGGGATGTTTTCTCAATTTACAATTGCTCTTTTATATAAAGCTCTCTCTTACACATGAGTGTCTCTGAATGTTTCTCTAGTCAACCTGGACTATCGCACCCATCCATATAATATATTTCTTGTACAATTAGTCAATTCAAATACATTGTGTTTTGCCAAACTATTTCAGGCCCTTCTTGATCATATTCTTGCATAAATTTGCTATGTACACAAAATATAGTTCTGTAGACACAGTGTGACTAGAGTAGAGGAGTGTTATCTTCATTGAAGCAATTTTATACTTGCATCAATTCAGTCTACTATTAAATTAGTTCGGATTTTTTTAAAGTAGTCATATCTGCATGTAATCCATTAAAAACCAGGGGTCCTTCTGCAAAGGCTTCAGTTAAGCAGGAACTCCCCCAATTTACTCTCTCTCTAGCAACTCAACCACTCTCAAGTTTTCAACTCAGACTTATGCTGACTGCCAGGGCAGGGAATTTTTCATATGGCTCTTCTGGCCAAAGTCTCAAATTCCCACTGAACCACTTTCCCTGCATGGGTCTGGTAAGAAGATGGGGGGTGATAGTGACAGAATTATTCTGTGAGTAATTACAAACAGGATTCCCTGGAGTGTCATCCTGCTATGTAGAAAATGAGCCCCCTGAAAAACAGGAGGCAGAAATCTCATTAACAGCAAGAACCATGAGTGAAGCACATTCTCTGGACATGAGATCCCTCAGAGGTGAACCTCCTGGACCGGATGACAGCTAGATCATCAGAGGAGCAGCCCAGAAGCAGGAGCCAGAGCATGAAGCAGAGTGATGGACTTCCCAACCAATGGAGAAAATAAAGCTGAATGCTTTTGTGCAGGAGGCTGGCTTTCAAAGTGGAGTGACTCTTGGCACTGAATTGGGGTGGCTGAACTTGCTGATCCATGGAAGAGGAGCTGAGTGCCTTCAGGTTGAAGTTTTTAAGAGTGGCATGCTCTGTAGGAATTTATTTGCAGACTTACCAGAACTTTGTTAACATGCCCTGATAAAACAACTCAACTCTGAGCATTTCTCACTGGCATTACAACTGGTTAAATTCCTTGATAAATCCTTTATCATGAATTTTGTCTGCAATTCTGTATAGCCACTGATAGATATTAGAACCTGGAGACACATTATGAAACATAAATTAAGTCAGTGTACTGAAAACTACCAGAAATTGATCTTCAATTTTGCTTCCCTTCTTAGGACCACTTTTTTATGGGTAATTGTGTTTTGAGTTATAGTTTCCCAAAATATATGTTCTGCCTCTCCCCCTAAACTGTAGCCTTCTGGAGGGTTAAGAATCGCATGTTAACATTTTATTTTTTAGTATTTAGTCTAGCTAGCCCATTAAATACTGAGTTTGTTAAAGATAACTCAGTTTCACAAAAGTATTAAATTTTGATTCTTAGCAGAATAGTTATAAAAATGTATTTCTGCAAAATGTTTATGCATTTGAATTATATTATGACATAGTATTAGAGTTATTTTCTCATCTTACAACTTAATGAATTTATTAAAATTTAGGTATACGCATAAATTATCCATAAAAATATCTACCTACAGTTCTTTATTGTTTAGAACAAGGTTTTCCAAAATCTCTACCAAGTTTTTCAAGTACAAACTGGTCTTGTCATTTGATGTGATTCCATTATTGCAGTTTCCCACACATATTGGGCCTATTGCCCCTTTTCAAAAAAAAGAAAATTACTCAGCACCACCTTGCCCCTATAATTAAAAACTTTTGTGGTACAGCCCATATCCAGGATAGGTGTAGACATCTGTTCTTGCACCCCACCCCTGGACCATGATAGTGCCCCAGAGGATGGCATCGCCCACATTGAGAAACACTGCATTATTGTCATAGTTCTATTTAATATACTTAAAACTCTTGCCAATTTCGCTCACAATTAAAACACTATACGCTCAGAAAATAGTAAAGAAATTTATATTTTGGATCTAATTCCACCTGATATAAAGTTCTGTGTTTATCAAAGTTAAACAAAATGTATTACATCCATAACTGCTATTACAAAAACCTCACTTTACTGAAATAAATTTTAGCTTAAAAATACATACTTGTTTAGTATCAGCATCAATAAGATCAAAGAATGCTCGAATTGTAGTCAACTGCAACTGTTTACACCTAAAGAATAAATGACAAATGAAACTTGCTTAATATATACTTTTGATCTAAATATGCACAATTTGAGTCTTTCTTAACCTTCTAAGCTTAAAAATTATTTTAAAATCATCTTATTAGGCATATATATCTTAGAGTTGAGATCAACTAAAAGAAAACAAAGCAAATCTTTCTGGATGGTTGACAGTACTATAAGGGTACTTCCTTCTTCGATAAATCTCCCCAAAAGTTTACTCTAGGTAAAACCATACTGTCTAATCCATCTTTACATTTCCGAACCATTGTAGTTTTTGCCTACACTGTTGTATGCACAGTCAGAGGTAAGTCAAAAGATAATTTTTGAGCAGAAACATATAAACATAGGTTACCAGGGTACGTCTGTTTCTAATGAATCTTTAATCTCGTGTAGTCTTAATGCTATGTAGGGGAAATCTACTTTCTAATTGGTTTTCCATGTGCTATCCCCTAGAATAACTACTACCACTCTAGTCAAACACGTGTGCTCAACAAGTCTCACTCTAAGTCCATTTGTTCCCATCCAACTATGACGAACTCTGGGATTGTGATGCTGGTATCTACCTTCATCTCAGACAGACGCTACTGGTTCTCTGGGAGATGATTTTATAGGTTTCAAGTGGACCATGGTCAAAGTGGCACAAAAACCAAGGCTCAGAGTTTTAAGGCATTAATCTTTCTCCCATCTTTATTTACTAATGGATAGAGCTCTAATAAAACCAAAACGCCATTCAATGCATTAATGAGGAAAGAAGCCAGCGATCACTCATGCCAATCAGTTACGCTAACTTACCACACTATGGAGAGGTGGTCTGTTGAGGCCCAGGTCTTAGGCACTGCTGAACTCTAAAAGAAAAAATCGAAAGTCAAACTAGAAAAGTACATTTGTTATTCTCCTAAAGGCCTGAAATTATTACAAGCTAGTATTTAAAAACATATAACATTAATTTCATTGAATACTTTGAAAATATTATAAAAGGTAATACAAAAACATAAAGATATGTCTGCACAAAATAACTCATAAACCTATAAACCTGTTTTGACTGAGCTTTAAATTACCCTTTAAAAGCATCCATAGAATCCTAAATGTTTAACTTTTTATTTATTTTTTTAATAAAGGGCTATTGTGATAGGTAGGTTTATTGTGCCAACTATCTCCCCCCATCTTTCCCTTACCCTCCTGGTATGGCTACTCTTAATATTGGTCCTGAGGATAAATAAGCATTGGTCCAGCTCTGATCTGTACCCGTGTACATCCTCTGGTCTAGCACTTTCTTATAACTCTGTGGAAAAAGAACCCGGAAGAGAGTGTATGAAGAAAAATTCTCTACGTTCATAAGTCAAGGAGTCTGGGAGGCCGGGGCTCCTGTAGAGGGAGACCCTCATGTTCGTAGGTTGGAGATGTGTCCTAGTCATGTTCTCCCAAGTAAAAGTGATTCCCTACCATGTCCCTGCATAATAATGCCAATCTTAAGGTGCTTGCAAGCACATGGTTGCTACTATGTACGTTTGAAGGTCAACTGCTTGAAGGCTACTTGCCTGAGGGTTGTCCCACCCTAAATAGAGCCCACTCCCTTCTAATAAGGATCACAGATTGCTCTCCTGGAGAAGAGCTCAGGAAAACCTAGGGTCCAGCCGGCTCAGAGACACCACGGTTAAGCCACCATCCTAACTCTAGAAGCTGCCCATCTTGTTCTGTATGTACCTTCCTGTCAACACGTATGCCTCTGTTGCCTCCCCATCCTATTGTGTGTATACCCTGAGATCGTCGCCCTGTTAGGTGCATGCCTCTAATACAACCCCTTTCTGTTATGTATATGCTTACAGTGGCTTGCATGTCCGAGATTATATAAGCTGTGAGAGTATACACTACTGCCTCATTCTGGTTCCGGGCACCAGGAAAGAGGTGAGCTCTTGCATGCCTTGTCTCCTGTCTCTTTAATTTACCCCTCGATTACTCAGCCACCCCTTGGACCCATTTGGTTGTGGGGAGGCTGTTCTCACATATAACTCTAATCAATGGACAAGATCTTATTTTGGGCAATATGCAATTAATCCTCATAAATAAGTTATTTTCACAAAGTGTCTAAGATCTTTTTACTTCCTATGGAGATAAGTAACCATGCCCCTGTCCTCCCAACACATCCATCTTCTTTCCTTCCTTCTTTTCCTCTCCCCACTCCCCCTCTCTCTCACACACAGTTTTATACCAACTTAACAGTCATTTTTAAGCATCTACATCTTTTATGGCCCATAATGTTTATCATGTTACTTTCTAAGCAGAATCTTTAATTAAAGAAAAAACATTTACCACAACAGATAAGGCACTGGTATGATGGCTTAATTGTGGGAGAAATGTCAATCCTGAACGAACTTGGTAATCTCGGAATCCTCCAGCTACCGAAAGTGTCGTTAAATTTATATGTCGGGCATTTAGAATCCAATAGTTGTTTACAGTCATATAAAAATCTGGTAGAGAACACAGAGATATTAAAATGAAGTAGTCGTTCCACACAACAATAAGATGCTTATATTAAGAGTAAATGAAATATTTTGCTTGTCATCTGAATCGTCTATAATGTGTATTCACATTACATTATTTTGAGTAAAAAATCAATTTACAGATATTCTTCTCCCCCATCACATCATAGCATAAACAGTATGAGTTGGTAAACAACAACAAATCCAATTATAAGCAGATCTCCATATTCCAATCATGCTGCTTATTCATAGGACACAGGCAACAAGGAGAGAAAACCCTAAAACCTTTTCCAAAGATTTATTTTTCAAAAGTTATAGACCACCCAATCACAGCAAGTCTCTCCTGATGAGCTCTCTGCTACAGTCAGCCACACAAAGGATAATTGAATTTCTTGTAAGAGTTTAATAGGACAAAGCCATTGATATTCGTTTTAAGACTATGCTGTAACTCTGAGTTTTATCCATTTAGTGTAGAAAGTAAAGAAACAGCAACCAATTTTTATCTTCAGAAAGTGAAATAATTTATGTAAAAAAAAAAACCACATTGAGCCAGGTACAGTAGTTCTCATGTTCTTTTCTGATCATAAAAACGATAATGCTTATTTATCCTTGCATTTGCACCAACAAAGGGCTTCCAACATTTCAGAAGAGCAGTCTCTCCACGAAAGATCTCAGCAGTATTTACTTAGACCGTCCACCACACCACTTCCTAATGCCTGCAAAGCCTAGCATAAAGCATGAAAGGGGCCTATGCACCAAAAGTCTATTTTTACTCAACGTTAAAAATCTAGCTAGGAAAATGTAAAATCAAATAGATTTTCTCTGCCTACCATGATAAACATATCGTTCCAAGGACCACGAAGTGCAGGCTGAAATGAAGAATCCCTAGACTCACTTGCCTTGGGCATCAGATTACAGCAGCACGGGGAGAGAAGATCCAGCCTCTAGCTGAGTTGTCTTTCTCTTCCCATCTCAATTCCACCTGGCACCACTAGCGCCTTGTGTTCACGTCTAAGACCTGTTTGTACTTCCTGATAATTATCTCTCAGGCACAATTCAAGCTTAGAACTGAATACCTCTACCCTGAGAAGGGCAGATCCAGATAGGAGACCCAATCAGGCCTGGAAGTGGGTGGAGCTGCGATACATGGGCAAGAAAGCCTGAGGTCCTGGGAACCTGGGTCATGATACAGAAGTAGACACTGGCTGTAAAGTGGTGATGCCTTTGGCCCACAGACACTCCTCACCCTATGAAGGAGGGCACATAGGTCCACTATGTGCAGAGCTCAGTACAGGCACCCTTTACCATATTAAAGGACAGTGTTTCCACCAACTATAAATAGGGAATCTACTTCTGTCATAACAGGAGTCTGTCTCTCCCAAACTCAAAATTCACCGTTCTGAGAACTACTTCTTTTGCTCTTTCATTTTAATTCTGGTTTAATGAAATAAAAGAATAAGTATAAAATAAATGGTAAAAAGGTCTGCTAATTATAAGGGTACCTTCATGCTAAGAATTATTTTCAGCCTAAGCCTTTTAGATATAAGACTGCTGTTGCTAGCTGCCACCAACTCAGTTCCAAAGCAGAGCTGTAGACAGAATGAAACACAGAGGGGTTCTGCACCGTGCTCACAATTGCTGCCATGTCTGACTCCATTGGTTCATTCATTGGTTCACGCTAGCTCATTGAAAATCATTCTCTTGTCCCCAGACCATTTACTTTACCAAGCAGGATATACTTTCCCAGGGACTGATCCTTCCTGATTACAGGTTCAAATTCTTTGAGACTTGGCATCTAAAGAGCATTCTGACTGCATTTCTATCAAGGCAGAGTTATCTGTTCTGCTGGAAGTTCAGAGTACATTGAGTATTTTTTGCCAACACTGAAATTCAAGGTGTCAGTTCTTCTGTCTTCCTAATTTGTTACTGACGAAATGGCAATGAGCTCCTGACCTCCTCTGGCTACAGAAAAGAGGAGAATCTAATTCTACACCAGCCCAATGTCGACATATTCCCTCCAATCCTTTTATAATAGAGACCTGAAAAACCAAGTGAAATAAACACAGACAATAATCCTGGTACTCTGAGCAACAAATGAGAAGACAAAGAATTTAAACACCACATGGAAAGGAAGACAGAACAAAAGCAAGCTTAAGGAGGGAGATAAAGCAGGGCCGCACACAGCCAAGGCTCAAGCACAGGAACAGGTGTGAAGATGACGCAGGACTGGGCAATGTCTTGTGTTGTGCACAAGGTCACTATGAAGCAGAACCAACGTGATGACTCCTAACTAAAACAACAACAACAACACTGCAGCCAGTGCGTCTCACACAAGGCAACACACTTGGACAAGAAGTCAACTTGTGGATTCCTTATTTGGATAGACACACAGTGTGGGGAGATTCAGAGTTAAACAAGAACACCGCTTCTTCAGCAGTTAGCCGCACTAAGGGGAAGTGTCAGCGCTCACTCCGGCACCCTTGGTCCTGACAGTCGTGGGCAGCACAGATCTACTCTACGTTCAAGAGCAAGTTTCAGTCTCTTTTGACATCCACTTTGATCTTTTCTTTCCTGTCTTTTTAATGACCTTTTGCTACCCCACAACTTGTCTTGTCTATAATCACTAGTGTTCAATGAATCAAACCTTTTTATAAGATCGTCTCTAGATTAAGGAGAGTATTTTGGTTTATGCTTAAGATAATATTTTGGCTCCTGTGGGTGTTTTACTTTTCTTTGACTTGAACTTGAATGACCCTATGATAATTGATCATCTGTCCCACAGTCTGCCTCTGGCCTTATTCTATCACCTCTTCCCAAAGATTTACTCAATTTGATTCCTGTATATCCCATCCTGTAAGTCTACATGTATTGTTGCAAATGTTTTTTAAAAGAGGTATCTTCAATGAAAGTCACTGTTTTTGTGATACCTTTCATTAAACAATGTTATTTCTAACAAAATTTACTTCCCAACTATTGACCATTTTGTTTCTAACCTTTGCACGCCAATCACCCATAATTATCAATGTATTCTGATTGCACGTTTGATCAATAGTGCACTGGAGAAGCTGGCAAAACCTTCCATTGTTTCATATTGACATTAGGGTTGATCCATAAATTTGATTACCAGTCATATCAAATGATCTTCTTTGTAGGTATGTGAATAACAACCTGTCACTGACATTACTGTTTTCCAGGATGGATCCTGAAATATTCTTTTGGCTGATGAATGTGATGTCATTCCTCTTGTCATTCCTAACATAGTAGCCCACATGTCACTGGATAATCCAAAATGGCCAATGCCAGTTCATTTCAGCTCACTGATGCATAGTAGAGCAATCTTTATATATACCACCTCATTTTTGAGGACTTTTACTTTTCCCAGATCCATACTTTTTTTTCCTGGGTAAAATGTGTTTTACTTTATTATCTGGAATTTAAAAAATAAACATTGACCAGTCTTCATAAATTTTTTAACTTTCTAATTCAGTTTTTTTCTTTTTAAAATCATTTTATTGGGGGCTTGTACAACTCTTATCACAACCCATCCATCCAACCATCCATCCACTGTGTCAAGCACATTTGCACATTTGTTGCCATCATCATTCTTAAAACATCTGCTGTCTACTTGAGCCCTTGGTATTAGCGCATTTTCCCCTCCCTCCCCGCGCCCCTCCCTCATGAACCCTTGAGAACTTATGATTATTACTTTGTCATGTCTTACACAGATCCATACTTCTTATATCCCATGTTCTGATTATTCATGGATGAGCATTTCTTCTCATTTTGAGTCAGGCTACATCAGCAAATTAATAATCCTGAAAGTATTACTCTATCCATGTCCTTAAGATCAGCTGTACCGCTGGGAAAAAGCCCTTCCCCAGTTGTACTTTGGGTGTCTTCCAAAATGAGCTGATCAAATACTGTCCCACTGCTGATCACCCGAGCCTTAGTCTTGTCCTCTGGGAGCTCCACTAAAACCTTTCCACTGTGGCTGACTTGCTGGCTGAGCTTCCGACACCACAGCAGCATGCAAGTTCCACAATATGAGAAACTGTGAGATAAGGAGCAGAAAGACCAGCGCTACCCTTCACAACAAGCCAACCCAGTGCTCCTGAAGTCATTCCTCAAATAAATTTATAAACGCACAGACGGGAGTCTCAATTGTGGTGCAAGTAACATGATTTTAACCTTTGGTATTTTCTAAATCTATAGGTATTTTATCATTGTTAATCTATAGTATCTAGATCATTTTAATAACAAGTTTAAAAAATTTGTCATTAAGAGAACAATTCAGGCAAAGTTTTAAACACAAGGAAAGAGACTGCTGGGTCAAGATGACCACTGAGTCACCAGCACAAGAGGAACTCCTCCACAACAATCAGGAAAAGACCAATGTGACAGAAAGCCTATGCACCCTGGAGACTTGGAGAACAACTTCAAAGCTAAGTGGACCAAGGTCTTCACACCCCAGAACTGTGGGAGTGGGCAAAGAAAGGGAAGGAAGCGGCAAAGCTGAACATAAAGTACTAAGTGTTCTTCCCCAGCTGCCTGCCACTGCTGATGTGCTTCCTTTGCCCAGAGTGCCACTGAGGAAGAAGAACTAAACGACACAATTAACCAACTTGGTCTCCTAGATACATAGAGAGCACACCACCCAATAACAGCACAGTACTCCCCACCCCCACTGTCATGACCCCAATTCTACCTCACAAATCTGGCTAGATCAGAGCATGCACACTGGTACAGACAAAAGTTTGAAACACAGGATTCCAGGAGAGATAAACCCCTCAGGACCTGTAATGAGAGGAGCGATACCATGAAAGTAAGGGAAAAGTGGGGGTGGGGGGTAGGGGGGTAGGAAAGGGGAACTGATTGCAATGATCAACATATAACCTCCCCAGGGGGACAGACAACAGAAAAGTGGGTGAAGGGAGACAGTGTAGATGGGAAAAAAAAGACATGGGGGAAAAAAAATTATCAAGGGATCATGAGGGGGTAGGGGTGTGAGCTGATCCAAGGGCTCAAGTAGAAAGAAAACGTCGTGAAATGATGATGGCAACAAATGTACAAATGTGCTTGACACAATGTATGGATTGTGGTACGAGCCCTCAATAAAATGATTTAACAAAAAAAAGCACAGCAAACATTCCTTTCCAGTGCACATGAAACATTCTTCAGAATAAACCAAGTACTAAGATACAAAGCAAGCCTTAGTAAATTTTAAAATATTGAGAGTTTACAATAAATTTCCTGAGAACACAATGCAATAAAATTAGAAGTCAACAATAGAAAGAACAAGGGTAAAAATCAGAAGAAAGAACAATAGCAACACGCTGCTTAAAAACTACTGGATAATTCATGAAATAAGGAATAAAATAAAATAAATTCCTTGATGATCTACAATAACCTTTGGGACACAAAAAAAGCAGTACTCAGAAGGCAATTTATAGCAATCAACACATCCATGAACAAAAGGAAAAAACCAAATCACTACCTTAACCGAGCCGCTTCTAGAACCTGAACAAAAATAACAAAACATACCTTCAACCACCAGAGTAAAGAAATCGTCAATATGAGAAGCAGAATAACTGAATTGAAAAACAACATAAAAATAAACAAGAAGTTGGTTCTGTAAAAGCATTAACAACTGACAAACCACTGCCAAACGTAAAAAAAAAAAAAGGAACAAGTTTCAAGTGTCAAGAATATATCATGACCAGTGTAAGACATGACAAAATAATACTAACTTATAACTTATCAAAGGTTCATGAGGAAGGGGGTGGTAGGGAGGGAGGGGAAAAATTGAGGAGCTGATACCAAAATGTGCTTGACACAATGGATATATGTATGGATTGTGGTAAGAGTTGCGCGAGCCCCAATAAAATGATTTTAAAAAATACACTACTATGAAAGATGTACACCAAAAATTTGAAAATTTAGAGGATATGGGCAAATTTCTAGAAATGCACTATCCACCCAAATTAACATAGGCTGATATAGAAAACCTCTACAGATCCATAGCAAAAGAAGAAATAGGCCAGGCCATTAAAATTCTTCCCACAAAAATCCAAGGTCAGATGGTATCTCTAGGGGATTCTACCAAACATTCAGAGAAGAGCTGACTCAGAGAAGAATTTTAGTATAAATTTTGTATATATTCCAGAGAGATTGGATCCTGCCATCTGATTCCTTGATCGCTTATATTGCCTGGCGATAACAGGAGCCATCAGTGGATGCTGACCTTGGAGTCATCTGGCAAACCTCCGTTTCATGTGGCTCTACAGCCACAACTTGTGGTCTTCCTGCTTCATCTTCTGGCTTCCTGTCCGTCAACCCTTGCAGCTACATAAATCAGGAGAAGTCTCCAGCTTATATCTGACCCACAGACTTAAACTAGACTGAACTTAGCCAGTTTTACAACTTTATGAGCCACTTCTTGATATAAATCTTTTTATGTAAATCAAACAAATATATATATATATAAATAACATACATAAGGGGATTAAAAAAAACCACAACGGAATGGCACTGGGTGGAGTGGGACTTTCATAGTATGCATTTTTCCCACTAAGCAAGCATCGAGCAACTGACTCTGGATTACTGCACCCAGTGGCATCGCCTGGAAGGTTCTCCCTGGTCACAGTGAATTTTTCATAAAAGCAGTTTTTCTCTAACTTCATTTTTGTTATGGCCAATTAAAGAGAACAGCGTGCAGCTGTGAAATTTTGTTTCCTGCTTGGGAAAAATGCCGCAGAAACTACTGCGATGTTGAACACAGCTCACAAGGGAAAAACTCAAGTGTACGGGGGGTTTTCTTGTTTCCAAAAAGGTGAAATGTCTAGTGATAACAAACGTCATTCTGGATGCTGATCAACTTCCCAAATAGGTGAAAATGTTTGCTCATAGTGCATTTGGAGTTCTTTTTACCAGGTCAGACTGTTAATCACAAGCTTTCTATTTAGAGGTTCTGAAAAGATTGCATGACAGCGTGTGACAAAAAAGGCCTGCTTTGTAGCAGATGAGGGACTGGTTTTGCCATCATGACAATGTACCTGCTAACACAAGCCATCTCAGTGTGCCAGTTTTGGGCAAAAAACAGTATGCCTCTCTTGCCCCACGTACCTGACTCACCTGACCTCACTCCAGGAGACTTCTTTTGGTTTCTGCGAATGAAGAAGGACGTGAAAGGACAGAGACTTGAAGATGTAGAAGAGATAAAGAAAAAAAAACCAGGGAGGTGCTGTCAGCCATCTAAATAGATGAGTTTGAAAAAACACTTCCAAGAATGGAATTGCAATGGATTGGGATAACAGTTGTATGAGCCCCTAATAAAATGTTTAAAAAAAAATAAAAAATAAAAAATAAATTAAAAAAAAGAATGGAATTGCAGATTTAACAAATGTACTAAGTGTAATGGAAAGTACTTTGAAGGTGAAAAGGTTGTTTTGTTAAAAAAACAAAAACAACAACTTTAAATACCTAGCTTTGAGAAAAAACAAACAAACCTGTGGTCTTTTGGGGCCTACCAAGAAGAAGCACACCAGCCTGTGTGATCACGAGGTGTTGATGGGATCGGGCATCAGGCATCAAAGAATAAAACATATCATTGTGATAAACCCCTCAGGACCAATAATGAGATTGGCGATACCAGGAGGGTAAGGGGAAGGTGGGGGAGAAAGGGGAAACCGATCACAATGATCTACATATAACCCCCTCCCTGGGGGGTGGCCAACAGAAAAGTGGGTGAAGGGAGACATTGGACAGTGTATGACATGGAAAAATTAATAATAATTTATAAATTATGAAGGGCTTGTGAGGAAGGGTGGGGGAGGAAGGGGGAAAATGAGGAGCTGATACCAAGGGCTCCTTGGTATATATAAAAAATGAAGATGCCAATTTGAGGGCTAAAATGTGCCCATCTCAAGCCATGGTATTTTTAATGTCGGTAAAGAATACTTAATATACCATGACTATCAAGAACAAGAGGTATAGCCAAAAGGCTCCTTAGAAGCAAGAATGATGAAAATTTGTCTCACCTACTGTGTTAGGCTGAGTTTTCTACAGAAACAAAACTAGTGACACTCATATATTTATAAGAACGAGCTTTCTGTCAAGAAAGCAGCCCAGCCCAGCCCAACTCAAGTCCATGGGTCAGATATTAGCTGGATCCAAGGTTGGCAGGAACATGACAGGGTACAACAATTCCCAGGGTCAGCAGGTTACCTGGGCTGCCAACTCCAGAGCCAGACACGCAAATCAGGCAAGCAGGAAGGCAAAAAGGAGCAAGAGAGAGCTTGGTCCCCACCCCTCAGCATCTATTGCAGAAAAAAGACATGTCCCTAAGGAGGCATCACCAGGCTATAACCTGATGGAGAGGTTGGACTCCACCTCTACCTCAAGTTGCCATAAAATCTAACCATCATACCTACTTTGGACATGTTATCAGGAGGGACCAGTCCCTGGAACAGGACACATCATGCTTGGTACAGGTTCAGTGAAAAGTAGGAAGGTCACCATTGAGACTGATAGATCCAGTGGCTGTAACAATGGACCCAAAGATAGCAACAACAGTGAAGATGGTGCAGGAGTGGGCAAGGTTTTGTTATGTTGAACATAGTCATAACTGACCCCACAGCACCAAATATTACAACATACTTCAAGTCTGAGGCAGTAGCTATCAAAAGTGAAAAGTACAGGCCTTGAATCAAATACTCTCTTTTCCTCCTTGATATAGCTTACACCATAGAACTGTGTGAAAATAGAGATGTTACATGTTACTTAACACAACACTCATGAATCTAGATGATTTTTTCTTTAAAAAAAGCAATTGTCGCTATGTATATTAACAACCCAATTTATTTAAAATTTAAACATTTCTATTATTTATGTAAATATGTTTCCTTTAAATAGAATACTGAGTTAATATGTAAGTAGTTTAAATATATTTTAAGAGACAGACTCATCCTGAAGAGTGATGATTTTAAGAACCTCTCAGAATTATAAGGCATGTTAAGGTGCTATGGACTAAAAATTAAAAGCAGTTTCAATTAGGATTCTACATGAAAAGTCGCAGAAAATTCATTCTTGTGAGCTGCTTCACACATGGATAAATCTGTACTGTTGTTGTGTGCCAAGTCAATTCCATCTCATAGTGACTCTGACCAAAAGAGTACAACTGCCCCATAGGGTTTCCTAGGCTGTAATCGTTACAAAAACAGATCTCCAGCTCTCTTCTCCTGTGGAGCTGCTGATAGGTTCAAACCACCCATCTTTCAGATGGCAGCCAAGGGCTTCCTGATACATCTGAGGCACCCTAAAAGCAGCAGCTGTGGAGATTTATTTATTTATGAGCATCAGTGAGATCAGTTAGCGTTTACACAACAATACTCACCTGTAATAAAACGATCTAATGGTATCACAGGAGCGACATGAGGTGTTGCTTGTGTAATAAGAAGATTTATCAGATCCTGTTTAAAATTTTTCAATGTAAGCAATGCTCTTGCAACAAGGCCACCCATAGAATGGCCAATTATCGCAACACTTTTTGGAGCAAATTCTTGACCCTATTAAAAAAAATTACCAAGGCATAATTAAGGCTTAGTATCATAATATAAAAGTCAAATATTGCTCTCTGAATATTACTAATTTTACAAGAAAATAAAAATTAAGCTATTAACCTCTTAAGAAATAGAAGTACATTTACTCAGTTACAGTTAGTGTATACATACTGTTTTTCTTATAACATCCTTGATTGGTTTTGATATCAGGGTATGCCAGCCCCATACTCTGAGCCAGTGGTTCTCAACCTTCCTAATGCCGTGACCTTTTAATACAGTTCCTCATGTTGTGGTGAATCCCCGCCCTCCACCAACCATAAAATTATTTTCGTTGCTACTTCATAACTGTAATTTTGCTACTGTTATGAATTGGGCAACCCCTGTGAAAAGGTCCTTGGACCTCCAGAGGGGTCTTGACCCACAGGTTGAGAACCGCTGCTTTAAGTTGATGGTTTTTCTTCTATTTTCTCAAGTAGTGTAAGATGATTTATTATTTTTCCTCCAAATAAGATCTACCACTGAAGTTAAGGGGCTCTAGGTGAGTCAGTGTGAATGTGTGGGTTGGGAGTTGGGGGATATAGTTTTCAATTACAAAGTCTTATTTTTTTAAAATATATATGGCTACTCAGATTTTCTGTTTCTCCTATCTGGTAATCTGTGCTCTTCAAAAATTTATATATTTCATGTGAGCTGTTGAACATATTGACCTGTTATTCTTAATACAAGGAGGTACCCAAAAGAAATTGGATTTTTTTCCCCAAAGGTATGTATTTAAAGTTTTTATAAAACCTTTTTATCTTTAACGTACACTCCGTTACACTTAAGACATTTGTCAAATCTGCGATTCCATTCTTGGAAACATTTTTCAAACTCATCTGTCTGGATGGTGACAGCACCTCCCTAGTTGTTTTTTTTCTTCCCCTCTTCTACGCTGTCAAATTGCTGTCCTTTCATGTCTCTCTTCATTCACGGAAATCAAAAGAAGTTGTATGGAGCAAGGTCAGGTGAGTCAGGTGCGTGGGGAAAGAGAAGCATGCTGTTTTTTTGCCCAAAACTGGTGCACTGAGATGGCTGCATGAGCAGGCACACTGGCATGGTGGCAAAACCAGTCTCCCGTCTGCCACAAATCAGGCCTTTTTTGTTGCACACTGTTACACAATCTTTTTAGCATTTCTAAATCGAAAGGTTGATTAACAGTCTGAGCTGGTGGAAGGAACTCCAAAGGCACTACAAGCACACATTTTCACCCGTTCGGACATCCAGAATGAAGTTTGCCATTAATCAACATTTCTCCTTTTTGTCAAATGAGAAAACCCTTCATACATGTGAGTTTTCCCTATAACGTTGTCCTGGTAAACTGTGTTCACCATCACAACAGTTTCCGTGGCATTTTTCCCTGAGCAGTAAACAATATTTCACAACGACATGCTGTTCTCTTAAATTGGCCATCACGACAAATGAGATTCAAGCTAAACTACTTTTAAGAAAAAATTCACTGTGACCAGAGAGAACCTTCCCAGGAGATGTCACTGGGTGCGCTAACTCAGAGCAAGTTGCTCGATGCTCGCCTAGTGGGGAAAATGCATACTATGAAAGCTCCGCTCCGCTCAGCACAATTCCAGTTTGGGGGGGGGGGGTTCCCCTCTTATTTTGCTACTATTCTCTTAATACCTGTAGGCTCTGTAGCGATATTAGCTTTTTCATTCATAATTACTTCCTTAATTTTCCAGCTTAAATGCAAAGCTGAGTTCACTAATTTTATGTATTTAAAGGCATAATTTTTCTCTTAGTCACAATTTTAAGCTGAGAAGTACTGATTTTATGCTTTACTATTCAGTCCAAAATATTTTGAAATGTCCCTTGCCAGTTGGTTGAATTTTCTATTAGTTCCAACAGCTTACTTGCAGAAGCTCTGGGGTTTTCTACGTATAGGACTACATCAACTACAGTGTTTTGCTTCTTCGGGACCAACTGGATGTCTTTTATTTCCCTTTCTTGCTTTCCCGCTCTAATACTTCCAATACAATTTTGAGTAAAGGTAGTGATAAAGGCATCCTTGTCTGGTTCCCATGCTCAGGGGGGAATGCCTTGTTTCTTTCCATTGAGAATGATCTTGGCTGTTAAGGTTTGTGTGCACACTCTTAATTATGTTGAGGAATTTCTCTTCTATTCCTCTTTGGCTGGGCATTTTATCAGGAAAGGGTGCTGGATTTTCCCAAACGGCCTTGTCTCAAATGCTATGATCTGGCAGTGCAGTGAAGCAGCTTACTGCTACTCAACTGGGTCAGCAAGCAAGAGTGGTAGGATGAGCGGTCAATGCTATGCTGGAGTAGCCTGCTGCTGTTTGAGTTGGTGGACAGGAGGGGTGAGCTGAGCAGCCAGTGCTGGCCTGAAGCAGATATTGTTACTTGGCAGAGTTGGCAGTCAGGAGGAAGGAAGCTGGTCAGGACAGGTGGGACTGACAATGATCAGGGCCCAGTAGAAGGGAACAAGAATGTTCATGCCTTGGTCCCTGGCAGTCAACGCTGGAATAATGTGAGAGTTTATAGTGCATATTGGTTATGTGTTGGGCTGCGATTTGCAAGGTGGGCAGTTCAAAACCACCAACCATAGCTCGGGAGAAAAATAGGGCTTTCTACTACTGTAAAAAGTTAGTCCTGGAAACTCACAGGGGCAGTTCTACCCTGTCCTTTAGGGTTGCTATAGTTGGCATCGACTAGATGGCAGTGAGTTTGTAGTTTGAGTCACGTGACTAATCACCAGGTTACTGGAGAGAAGAGGAGCATACTCTTGGGCACCATGCCAGGGTGCTTGGGCTCTCCCACTGGCGACAGCCGTCGTCAGGGCCTCACTTCACTCTGGGCATGTCTATGCAGCTACTCTAGGTCCTTGGGAATCTTGTGAAGCAGTCTCTGTGCTTCTGTCAAGATGGCCATGAGTACCGGGCTCACTGGCCAGGGTCCACTGCTTCATCTCGACTCATTTTCTATTTCCAGATGTTTTCTTCTGCCAACCAGTTACCCGATCTTGTCCTTCATCCCTTCCTTTCATGCTCAGGGTCCAAGGATTGTCACCTAAATCTGTTCCACTTAGTGTCTTGGGTCTTTGATACAGTGTGTGATGTGGTGCTTCTGACAAAGCCACTATTCTGGCTGGGAGAACACATTACACTTTGTTTTAATCCTCTGCCCCAAAATCACAAGAAAGGTTTCTTATAAATTCATTTTAAGCATAAAAAGGCACCAGTGAGTTCCAAACAACGGACTTCCATCAAAAAACAAACAACTGTGCCATCGTTGCTTCATTTCCACAAAAACAAACGGAAAATTTAAAGTATACTGGATTTAAAATATATGGAATCCCTTTAGCAAAAAAAAAAAAAAAAAGTGGCTACTAGGTTGTACTACTACTGATTTGACTTTTTACCTTATAGAGCTTCAGAATTGTTTTAATGCACTCATGGACATATTTAGTCTGCTTTTGAAGACTTCCACCGTACAGCGCCACCAATTCTTCATTGAAGTTCACGCTAAAGAAGTCAAAGTGGTACTTGAAATCAATGTCTTCTGCTTTTCGAAGTGCTATAGAGCCAAGAGAACGAACTGCAGGGAAAGAGCAGAGTGCTCATTAAGCAAAAAATTTTTTAAATTTCATTTATTCTTGTTTCAAGGCTCCTCAAGAAATGGCTCTCACACTGAATAAAATATTTCAAGATGACACCCTTTAAAAGTATCAATTTTAAAGAACATACTAGTCTAGTCATTATACACCTGGCACAGAGTATCCTAAATATTCTTAAATGAAGTTAAATAAATAAAAGATAAGAAAGTTATACTCATTTTCACCTGCTTCAGTGCTTTTATTATTACTCACTAAGAGTAATAATACCTAAAAAAGGAGAATTCTTTAAAGAATAAAAAAGAGAAATTTTATCACAGCTTTTAAGAATAAAAAGATTCCTAAGGATATATCTACTTATCACTTGGTTTAAATATTCATGCTTGACTCATTTTTCTCTTTCATACATGACATCCAAACCCATTAATAAGTCCTAAAATCCCCTACCTTCCAAACTTATAACCAATTGAGGTTTCTCACCATTTTCACCGCTACCTACCTAATCAAAGCACCATCATTTCTCGCCTGAAATACTCCTAACTCGTCTCCTTGCTTCCACTCTTTGTTGTTGTTGTAAACCCTTTAATAGATTTTATTGTTAATTGATTACAATGAGTGGCATAAATAGTCCATTGTCTATTTTAGCAAACAAATATCTCTATTTTGCCATTTCAATTTTTAACATACATACACATACTAAAATTCAGATTATCATATAAGTCACTCTGCAACCAGCAGAAATTCAATCATTTTCAGTATATTCAGAGTTCTGTAACCATCACTACAACCTAATTTCAAAATTCACCATTCTCAAAAGATATTCTAGACGCATTAACACTCATTCTCAATCCCCCCTCCCCCCAGGCTTTGGGAACCACTAATCTACTTTTTCTCTATCGATTGGTCTATTCTGCACATTTTACATATCAAAATATGTGGCATTTTGTAATTAGTTCCTTCATTTAGCAACATATTCTCAAGGTTTACCAATGTTACAAAGTATATCAAACTCCAATATTTTTATTGTTACTGTATATACTTGTGTATACGCCAAGTTTTCAGCACATTTTTTAATGCAGTTTTTGTGGTCAAATTAGGTGCCTCCACTGATATTTGGGTTGGCTTATAGTCAAGTATATGCGGTAAATAATATACGTTCTAGTACATGGACATGGATGTTTATTCGTCAGTTCACAGGCATATCGGTTATTTTTACCTTTTGGCTGAATAGTGCTACTATGAATATCTGCACACAGATTTTTGTATGAGGCTGTCTTCGTCTCTCTCCTTTCTGAAAGCAGGTCATATAGTAACTCTAGGGTTAATATTCTGAGGAGCCACCAAACAATCTTCCAAAGCAGCTATAGCATGCCACATTCCTACTGGAACTGCATTAGGGCTCAAATTTCTCCCCATCCTCAACAACCCTGTCATTATCTTCTTTTCTTAAAATTATAGACAACCCTGTGGGCATAAGTAGTATCTCACTATGGAATTGTTTTGCATTTTCCTAATGACTAATAATGTTGACAGTTTTCCTGTTTCCATCATAACCCTGTAGAACATATTCTCTGTACAGACCCAGATTGGTTATCTTCTAAAAGTAAATCACAACACATACTAGAATGGTTATAATTTAAAATATAACAATTACTACATTGACAAGCTCTTTGGACAAAGCGATGTGTACAGTGCCTGTGGGAGTTCACATCAAAATAACCAGTAAAGGTGAAAAGACATATATAACCTGTAATATGGAATTCCATTCTCTGGCACACATCTTACAGAAAGGTGGGCTTATGTGCACCAAAACACAGAAAGATGAATGTTCATTAACTGCCACTGCCCCCAAACGTAACCAACCAAATGACCAAAGACAGAAGTAAGGGTAGCTGTGGCCTATGAAAGAGAAGAGTGATAGTGAACTAATTATAGCTGACACACTTGGAAAGAGTTAGCTTTTTAATGCTGAGTAAGATTCATCAGACACAAAAGAATATACTCTACATGATTATCTGTAAAATCATCTGGGATTTTAAAATCAGCCCCCCAAACTAGGTTATAGGGGGGCAACATACTTAGGTGCTAAAACTACATAGAAAGACAAGGAAATGACCACCTTCAATTAGAATTGCAGTTATCCCCAGGAAAAAGAGAGAGCTGTCATCAGAAGGGGCATGTAGGCAGTAGATCCCAGGGTGCTAACAATCTTCTCTCTTAACCTGATTTACTTCCCTAATCAATACTTCAGGTTCTCTTTCCTGTTTCCTCTTATATTCAACATACAACCTTCCCTCTGCTGATTCTTGAATCCCTGTATTTATCCCACCCACTCAACTTTATTCTTTTTCTCCTCACTCTTTACAAAATGATCAAGTTTTCCCAATATCTCCTTTCAGAAAAAAAATGTCATTTATTTGTATCTTTCAACATGCCTAACAGAGTAACTAATAAGAGTATATACATTTAACAACTTATTCAATTGAATATACCGTATATACTCGAGTATAAGCCGACCCGACTATCAGCCGAGGCACCTAATTTTACCACAAAAACTGCATTAAAAATTGTGCTGAAAAACTCGGCTGATACACAAGTATATATGGTAATAGCTTTCAAAATGTATTTCCAAGACTTACCTTGCTTATAACTTCCAGCATTACCAGGAAGAAAGAGAACTGGAATCCCTGTCAATGGCAGAATTTTGTGTTCTTCAGCATAAGACCCTTCTCCATAAAGATATAGCTCATATGAAGGATAGCGCTTTGCCAGTTTCTTTGGAAGTTCTATTTTCTACAGCAAAAAATACAATTTACTTTTATCGGTTTTATTTATAAAATGCAGCTTCACTTTATGCAATTCTAATTTTATAATTTATACAATATAAAGATATTACAAAGGAGAAAAACTGAGCTTAATGAACAAAACAAGCTCTCCTTTTAGTTTATTCCTATAGAGAATTAGTCTTAAATTGTGTGAGTTTTGAATTATAAAGTCTTCAGGAAAGCATAAAATGGGACTTGAACTTCTAAAGAATACAAATGAACCAAAATGGTCACTGACAACCTAGAAAAAGCATTTGGTTTAAGTTATGTGTTAGTATAATTAGAAATGCATTGACTTTCAAATTCTATCAATTACATTTAGAAATGATGACCTTTACACTATCAAATCACTTCTTTTTTGCCATTTTAAACTTTTTCTATTGTCTCTCCTTTTACTCTGGCCTAACTATATGTTCTAGAAGGATCCCTGGTGACATCGTGGATTAGGCATTGGGCTATTAACCGCAAGGTCAGCAGTTCCAACTATTAGCCGCTATGAGGGAGAAAGATAAGGCTATTACTTTAAAGCAGTGGTTCTCAACCTTCCTATTGCCGCGACCCTTTAATACAGTTCTTCATGTTGTGGTGACCCCGCCCAACCATAAAATTATTTTCGTTGCTACTTCATAGCTGTAATTTTGCTACTGTTATGAATCGGGCGACTCCTGTGAAATGGTCGGTCCACCCCCAAAGGGGTCGCGACCCACAGGTTGAGAACTGCTGCTAAAGAGTCAGTTTCTGAAACCCACAGGGGTAGTTCTATCATGTACTCACTATGAGTCAAAATCTACATGAGGGCAGTGAGTTTGTTTTTTAACTACATACTCCAGCTGTCACATATTTCAAAGGGCAGTAAGTTTGTTTATAATGCAACTTTAGACTTCTCAACTTAATACATTTTGACCTAAAATGTGCATAGTAAAATATTTAATTATTATTATAAACCAGGCCAAACCCATTATTGTCCATTCTCACTGTCTCATAAGACACAGTAGAACTGCACTTTTAGTACAAAGTACAAGTACCCCGTTGGGTTTTTTCAAGGCTGTAAATCTTTACGGAAGCCCGGAAGCTGGAGGGTCTGAACCACTGACCTTATGGTTAGCAGCTGAGTGCTTAACTACTATGCTGTTAGGGCTCCTTACATATATGAGAGACTTCAAAGAGTTTGTGGAAGATTTTCCTAAGATTTTAATTTTGTTTTCCTCTGAACTTTTAAAACCCCTTCATATATATCTATGTCTTAAAAAGAAATGCACTCTTCTGTACTATAAGCATTCTTATAAATTAGCATGTTTCTATACTCATGGGACCAGGAGTACAGTTTGTCAGCAAGTCTTAAACTGCTCTGAATTTATGTGCTTAGTCACCAAATAAGCCACTTATTTAAGCTACATACGACAATGATTCATCTACTTTTTTCGATGTGATCTATATTAAGTATTAATGTCATCCCTCACAGTCTGTGCTAACTCACAGCAGCTCTCTGCACAATGGAACCAAACGCCCCCAGTGCTGCCCCATTCTCACAGCGGCTCCCCCAAGCCCTCAGCGGAAGGAGCTAACGAAGCAGTGTTACATATAAACCCGCCTCTTGCTAGGATCCTAAGTCACCTTTCAGACCTGGACTTGAACTCACCCCCATGTTTGAATACTCAACCACTTAGACCAAAAGGGAAGCCTTGCGCAAGGACAAAGACAGAGGGCTAGGAAATAACGAGGAAGAGACATGGGGAAGAAGTGGGATAGGTGACGGCACACGGAGGAGACTGACATGGGTGCGTTTAAACAAAATGAGCATAAACAGCTGAATGTAAAATTGGTACTCTATTCTGTGTACCTCCACCTAATTCAAAATAAAAACTTTAAAAAGTAAATTAATTTGACTGGACAGTAGATGCTATTTAAGTAAACTACAATAAATTTAATAATCTAGCCTTGCTGTACATATAAGAAGTATGTGCTTAATATAAATTTTAATTACTGAAGGCATTCCCCCCAATTTATTTTCATTATTTTACAGTTTTATTGGCATATAATTTACCAACCATCCAATTCAATAAGTCAATAATCTTTTTTTTTTAAATCATTTTATTGGGGGATGATACAATTCTTATCACAATCCATATATACATCAATTGTGTAAAGCACATTTGTACATTCGTTGCCCTCATCATTCTCAAACCATTTGCTCTCCACTCAAGACCCTGGCATCAGCTCCTCATTTTATCCCCCTCCCTCCCAGCTCGCCCCTCCTGACATTCCCAAAATTTTCAATGTTAACGAGTATAAAAAACTTGATTGGGGAGGGTGGGGGGAGCAGGGGGAAGAAATGTGGAGCTGACAACAGGTGAGAAAAGAATGCTTTGAAAATGATGATGGCGGCATATGTGCAAATGTGCTTGACACACTGGATGTATAGATTGTGATAAGAGATGTAAGAGCCCCCAATAAAAGGAAAACCCCCCAAAACTTGGCTGTTCCAAAAGACAGAACTCTGACCATCCATGCACACTCTTGACTGTCCCTCTAGGATACAGTACCATAAGCAATCTTCCAATAAGCCCAAACCAAACTCACTGCCATCAAGTTGACAGTAACTAATAGCAAACCCTATAGGACAAGGTAAAACTTCCCCTGTGAGTTTCTCAGATTGTAATTCTTTAAGGGAGTAGAAAGTTTCCTCTTTCTCCCATAGAGTGGGGTGGTTTCGAACAGCTGACCTTGCAGTGGCAGCCCAAACTCATAACCACTGTACCACCAGAGCTCTTAATCTGTCTAATAACAGCATGGTAAACATCTTTAGAGACTGTGAACTTATGGTTTAAGACATTAGCAACTTTAGTTATCTCTTCAAAGACTCAAAACACTGAAATACTAACTCCATTATTGTGTACTTCGATTCAAATTAATCCCCATATTAATTTCGCATTGGACCGAAAAAATGAAAATATCATATTTAACTTCTTATATGCAGATTGAGCAAAAGAAAAAAGAGGACAAAAATGTTTCTTTACTCCTTTCAATTCAGTGGATAGAATAGTGCATGCATGTTAGGTTATTAGTCCTTTCAGTATAGTAGCTAAAAACAAAGTCTGAAACTAGTTAAAAATGAACTCCGACCATGAAAACTAGCAAATATATCTAAAAAGAAATATCAAATAATCCTTATAAACACAGAGGAATATTAGTGGCACAATGGTTAAACACTGGGCTGCTATCCAACAGGTTGGTAGTTCAAAGCCACTACCTACTCTTCAGGAGAAATGTGGCAGTCTACTTCCCTGAAGATTCACCGAAAGAACTCAAAACCTCACTGCCATTGAGCTGATTTCCACTCATAGCAACCCTACAGGACAGAGCAGAACTGCCCCTGTGGGTTTCTGAGGCTGTCACTCTTTAGGGGAGTAGAAAGTCTCTCTTCCCTGGAACTTCGGGTGGTTTTGAACTGCCCACCTTGTGGTTAGCAGACCAATGCATAACCATTACACCACCAAGGGCTCTGTTATTCGATAAATGACTTGATAAATTAATATTGCATTTAATAATATATGATTCACATTTTCTAATGTCAGAATTTCCTTTCAGGAGAAACTGTTAGGTTACATATCAATAGATAACCTGAGAAATTACTTTATGGATGAAAACAACTCAGATATTTCTTCTTGAATTCTACAATTTACCTAAAATAGTTGCTAAATAAAAGCTTTGCCTTGCTGTCATAAGGCAAGAAACATTCAAGGATAATGGATGGTGTGTATTTTGCCTAGTAGGCTTGAGATGTGCTTGTGAAATATTCCACTAGGTCTGAATAAGTCAATCTAGGAAAAACAAAGGAAGAGGATAAATAATTGTAAATTTTAAAACTTCATTTTTGCAAAAAGTTCAAATTCCTGCTCCACTTTTTAATAAAAAGGAGGGGGGTGCGTAAAATTGATGAGTTTCAACTACTGCTCATTTACTAAGGTGACATGCTAGAAAATATGCAAATAAATGGTGAAAAAAAAATACCAAGAAAGAGAAAACCAAAGACATACTATATGCTGGATATCAACCTGTTAATAATTACAGCCCCCCGTGAAAAAAAAATAATTACAGAACCACTGTAAAAATAATTAAAAGTGAGCAGCATATAAAAACCTTTGGAACATTTTTAGTCATGAAAACCACCTGGTTCTAAAAAGAATATCCTCAGTTTTCCAGAAATTCACCATATTCAAAATGACTCATTTCCTAAGATAGGATTTAAGCTTATGTGTAAAATAACACAACTTGGTGTGCAACATAAAAAGGACCAAGTCAAAGGCAGTGAATTAATATTATAGCTATTTAGATACTAAAAATAAAATCTATTGAGAGGAATGTTTGTTTGGCTAGAGGAATGAATGTTTGTTTTGAGTTTCTGTTTACGGAGATGGAAAATATGGCAAAGACTCTCAGTAATGGTTGAACAATATGTCTGAGATAATTGGTTTCATTGAATTGTACAGGAGAAAAAATGTAGAATTGGCAAATGTTATCTATATTTTTTAAAATTAAAGAAAACTTCTATTATTATTGTACAAATTACGAGAAACTCCAGTTGAGCAATTTGAACCAAAAAGAGTAAATACAGACTATTCAACAACAACAAAAAAAGCCAAACAGCTATGCTGTATTCGCTTTTTACATCAATTTACAAGGTAGGAAATCACCTGCAGGTCTAAATGCTTTGTTCTCAATCCTTAGGAAAGCAGTTTTTAATACTGCGACTATTAAAATTGCTTCCATAATCATGGGCAATTTAAAAATAAATAGGAATTAGTACTGTATTTTTCCACAATAATTTCATGCTAGCCAAACTCTTCAATATAGTATGAAACTAAAGTGACCTACTTCAGTTTATTAGGAGTTTCCTAATGATTAAACCATAAATTATGCAAGGTGGCTCTAAGGGGACTATTTTCAGACAAACACAAAAGCAAGAGCCCATGCACTGTATTATAGCTAGCCTCGGATAAACATCAGCCAGCATATTTGCTTCCAAGTGAACGGAGACAACAGTAACATGTTAGAACATGATATCAAATGTTTCCACTGCCTTACAACCAATGATGGGAAATCCAGGTATGGAGCTGAAAATAAATGAAATTTAAATTCCCTAGAATTTTGCCCAAGGGAAAGGTTGTTTTTCATCCTTTAAACTTTTAAATCTTATGTAGTTTTACGACCTAAATTATATAGCATAATCATATATGCAACCCCATCACCATCAAATGACTTGCACAGAAGCAATTCCAACTCCTGTTCTTAAGCCTAAATATATATATCTGGTATGGTTTTAAAAGAATATTAATAATGCATTTTATCATATGTTTTATCGTGCATACATTTTTCACGGTAGGGAGTTCTCATAAGGGGCACTTGGTAATGAAGACACGCATTAAAAAAAATAAAAGCAGCATTCGCGAGAAATTTATCTGGACAGCTGTGTAATTTGTCACCACCTCTTTTGCCTGCTAGTCATGAATGAAATGATGAAGCAAATGCGATGGAAAATATTAAAAATGAAACGGGAGGGGAGGTGGAGGAAAAGGGCATCAACATACATGGGGAGAGAAAACAGGTAGAACCGAGAAGAGCCAGGTTTCTATCAAATTGCGAACACGAGGTGAAAACAAAAATAATAGCATGAAACAGATTCTGCAAGCAACTAGTGAGCTAGGCAGAGGCCCGGCTGCTCGGCGGCATGCACAAACGTACCGTGCCCAGACTCTCAGCCTACCGAACGAGAAACGGCAACCTCTGCGCCGAACGGGGAGCCTAAAGAGTTTCCCCTGTCAGCACTCGGGTGAGCCTTTGCCCAGAGGGAGAGCCCGGAGACTCCGAGGGCGGCCGCAAACTCCGCTGCCCGAGACCGAGTCTGCGGGCGCTCGGCTCCGGGCAGAAAAGCGAAAGCTGCGGTGCCAATGATCCCGCGGGAGGGCGCGGGAGAGGGTCCCGGGCACCTGTCGGACGGACGCGGGGAGGGTGGGGTTGGGGCTGGGGACCGGGGCTAAGGTCACCACGCTGGGGCCCGGCCAGTCGCAGGTGCGGGCTTCCTGCGGGCTGCGAGGCCGGCGCGGGGCGGAGAGACCGGGAAACTACGAGGAGGCGGAGAGGATGCTCCGGGACCCGGCAATCCCAACACCCGGCCCAGGAGGGAGGACACAAAGGGCAGGTGAGGGGCGGCTGGGCTCTGCCCCGCCTCCGGGGGTGGCGAAGCCGGGCTGCGCTGGGCTCAAGCGGCCCGAGGAGCGCGGGGTGCCGAGGTGGAGGGACTCCGCGCGGCGCCGGGCAGGACTCTCCGAGCGCCCAGGTGAGGAAAGGGCGGACCCTTACCTGATACTCCGGGTACTCGAACATGTAGCTCATACTGCACTTGTTCTCCTCGAAGCCGAAGAAGACATCCCACAGCCCCAGGGTCGCCAGGAAGACCATGAAAGCATAAAACGCCAGGTTCCAGAGGTTGACGGAGGGAAGAAACATGGTGTCGCCACCGCGGGGCTCCGGAGCCAGTACTGGCCACGCCGGAGCAGCACCGCCGCCGGCGCCCGAGCGGAGCCGGAGCAGCAGCACGCGCCTGCGCGGACCCGCAGCCCGCGCGCGCCCGCCCGCCAGGTAGTGCGCCTGCGCGCACAGCCCCCCGCGCCGCCCTCCCGGGCTCTCCCCGGGGCGGGAGGAGGCGGCGTCTGCTGCGGGCGCGCGAGTCTATGGAGAGGGAGAGGGAGCGGGAGCAGAGGGAGGAAAGCGGGGCGGGCTGGCTTGGAGGGCGAAGAGAAGAAAGCTTGGGAGTGTGGAGAGGAAAAAAGGGGGAGGGCGGAGCACTGGAGGCACAGAGGGGGACAGGCCAGGCTTGGGGTTGGGGGGCCCAGAGGGACGGGCTGGGGGTGGGGTGGGTGTGCATCCAATAAACTGGAGGCAATTAATGGCCGGGAAAGGGGAGCGGGCACATCAGAGCTCGGGGACCACCAGCTGTCACATCGCAAACAACTCGCCTTGCAGCAGTTTAGAAACCTTTCCCTTTCCATTTGGAAGCGCCTCAGGCCTCTGCAATTTCGGCTCTCCCAGCGGTAACAGAGCAGGTCCACAGCTCTCGGGAACAGTCAGCGCGGAAGAGGGAACAAATGGCTGCCCCCTACCCCACCGCCCCTTTTAACCTCAGACGTTTAAGGAGAAAGAAAATCCTCCTGTAACAATCACCTGTAGCTCCTGTCATCTCTTAAGGTTCCTAAAGGTGTGGTCACTACTCATATGCAATTCCTCACCTCTCAATCACACCTCAAGACGTTATCATTTTTGTTACCCTTTTAAACACACAACACACACACACAATTAAACTTCTCTACCCAGGACAATAAAAGATCTAATTACCAAAATCCAACACTTTTCAGCTTCGCCTGATCTTTCTGCTAGATTTGCCACTCACCCCCAACCCCCCCACCCCCCCCCCCACAAAACGCTTCCCTCCCTTGCCTTCTTAATTTTCCATTGGGGAATTTCTTCTCCTCTTCTGACCTCCCCTCTCCAGCACACGTGATGCATTTCTCCACTCATCCCTTCAATGTTTTTAGGCTCAGCCATCATTTAACTTTCCCACATAACATTTAGAGACTCCTCAATGCCTTAAAAACAAAGTATTGACCTAAGAACAGGATTTGTTGTGAGATAAATAAAAGAAGTCTCTAAAACCCAAAATAAATTGACAAGTCAGGACAAGCTGGCTTCCTTGGGCATGTACCCAGCTCCCTAATGGCCACTCCCAAATCCATATCTAACCATCTTACACAACTCTTCTCTTGTTTAGTATTTAGTTCGGATTCCTGCGTGAGGGTTAGAGGAGTGCTCTCCTTGGTCTAGGTTACCCTTTTACATCCAAGGCCAAAACCAAAGTCACTCCCATCGAGCGACCCTAAGAGACAGGGTAGAACTAGAACTGTTTGTGGAAGAAAAGAGATCCGTCTTTCGAGGTGTAGAACTGCCTGCTGCAGATCGCAGCCCAAGTTTAACCACTGCGCCATGAGGGCGCCTACATTTTAAAATCAGGTCTCACCATCCTAAGAGGTTTCTAGTAAACAGTACTGGAGACGTAAACAGGCACCAAAACCAGAGCTGGCAGACAAGGTTTGTTTTATACGTTAGATAATTGAAAGCTATTTAAGATCTATAAAATGAGATGTATTCACAATTGAGTATTGAGGGAGATGTTAATGGATGTCCCGTCAGACTACCGAGGATAGGGCCCCATTCCAGACCAGTGGGGAGATTTGATTTGATTTTAGGTAGAAGAATATAAGGAAAGACGGGCTTTCGTTGTGTTTTTGTTGCTCTCCATTTTAAAGACCCATTAAGAATATTTGGATAGCTAATGAACTGAACAAGGCTCAGAACTGATATGGAAAGATCTCCAAGATACATGATTAAGGAAGAGGAAAAAACAAAATGCAGAACCGTGCATATGATGTGCTGTATTTTGTGTAAGAAAGGAAGATAAATCTGAGAAGATAAATAAACTAAAAAAGAGGTGGTGAGGATGAATCAAAGAGGCAGAGGCAGAAATGAATCTTCTGTATGCATTCTGTATACTTTTTACTTGGAACCATAAAACATCCAGCAACCATTAAAAAATAAAATGCAAAAGCAATCCTATAATGAAAAATGAGTTGGAGAAAATACATTTAACGCTACAAAATTAGCATCAAAATAATATGCTCAAAAACGGAATTCTCAGCAGATTTAGAACAGTTCTTTGTACGTACTATGTCGTTATCTGTGGCCATTGAGTCAGCCGCAACTCAGGATGATCTTCTGTGTACAGATAGAACATCTGACTAGGGTCTGCTGATTGTGGCATAACAGTTCTAAGGTGACCAGATTTTAACATTGGCAAAGCGGGACACCATTAATAAAACTCATATCCTGGTGAAATAGCCACACGGCAGCCGAAAACCGTATACCCCAGCTTGTCGTGCATTCTTTCCAAAAATCTGGACTTTTTTAAAGTGCCACGGAAACGTGGGAAAAAATGTTAAAAATCGGGACTGTCCCGCCAAAAGCACTTGTTGGCTATGGGAGTAAAACTGTCTGCTCCAGTAAAGATTCCAACCGAGAGAGCCCTAGGGAGCAGACCCACTCCGTCACATGAATTGAAAACGGACTTGACAGCACCCAACAGCAACAGCAATCTTTATGGAGCCTGTCTTCTATAGGTTTCTCTGTGAGTTGCAATCAACATGATGGCTATTGGTAATGTCTAGGAATAAGAAGAGAGAATCAGAGAAAAGGTCAATTTGCTTGAAAAGGTGTTTTCTGTTTAGATATTTTGAAATTTAGTTAGCTATTTCCATAGACAGGATTGTAAAGCTTTAGCATGGGCTCAAGAGAAGATGTGGAATGAGGGATATCATTGATTGGATGCAGAGAAAACCAGAAAAATGTTTACCTGTGTTTTATTGACTATGCATTGCTGATGTCAGCTGCCTGGCGTCTCCCTTCACCGACCCCTCTGTTGCCCATCCCCCAGAGAGGAGGTTATATGTAGCTCTCTGTGATCAATTCCCCCTTTCTATACCCCCCTTCCCTCCTGGTATCGCCACTGTCACCCCTGGTCCTGAGTGGTTCATCTGTCCTAGATTCCCTGCATTTCCAATTCCCATCTGTACCGCTGTGCATCATCTGGTCTAGCCAGATCTGCAAGGCAGAATTGGGGTCCTGGTAGTTGGGGATGGTGAGACCTCATCGCACATAATTTGGACATATTATCAGGAAGTATCAGTCACTTTGAGGACAAAGGTGAACCTGATCCAAACCATGGTATCTTCAAGTGTCTCATACCCAGACGAGAACTGGACAACGAATAAGGAAGACCAGAGAAGAGCAGCAGCCTTTGATTATGGTGCTAGTGAGGAACATTGAACAGACCCTGGGCTGCCAGACCCACCGGTGTTGTAAGAAGTACAGTCAGAGGCACCTTGTATGTGAGGATGGTGAGACCTCATCGCACATAATTTGGACATATTATCAGGAAGTATCAGTCCCTGAAGACTCATTCATACCATCATTCATACCATCTGACTTGTCACAACCCTGTTGGACTACCCATGTGGGTTTTCAAAACTGTACATTTTGAGGGAAGTAGAAAGCTTCAGCTTTCTTCCTTGGAGATACTGGTGATTTTGAACTGCTGGCCTTGTGGTTAGCCCAACGAGTAATCCACCTTGCCCTCAGGGCTCCATGTCCTTGAAGAAGAACATCCTGTTGGGACAGTATAGAGCTAAGTGAAAAAGAAGAAAACCCTAAGTAAGATAGATTGACACTAATTGCAGCAATGGGCTCAAACATAGTAATGATTGTGAGGACCAGGAAGTGTTTTGTTCTGTTGTGCATGGGGTTGCTGTGAGTCAAAATCAACTCAACACACCTAACAACAAACATGGAAAAGCATCGGGAATCCAAGTCAAAGGTTTTTGTGTTTGTTTGTAATCAATCCAGTTAGAAGAGGTTGACTTGGCATTAAATAGCATAGAGTGTGAGTTCAGACAGGGACCAGAATTTAAAACTCAATAATAACATGGAAACAAAAGAAAAAAATCCACCAGGGAACAGATAATGAAGGTTCAGATAGGTGGGAGCTGCAAGAGAGCTATTTGATGAGTCATAAGAGAGATTTGGGAGAAGACAGGAGAGGAACAGTCTTCTTTCTCCCAAAGATGGCTAGTAGGTTTGAACAGTTGGCTTTGTGGTTAGCAGTCTAATGGGCAATTGTGCTGCCAGAGCTCTTGAATCTGGTGTATAGAACCCACCAAATCAGATTCACTACAATCAAGTCAATTCAACTCACAGTGACCATATAGGACAGACTGTAACTGCCCCTTTGGGTTTCTGAGATTGTAAATATTTAGGGAGCAGACAACCTCAGCTTTCTTCCGAGGAGCAACTGGGGTGTTCACACTCCTGAACTTGTAGTTAGTCACCCAACACATAATCCCCTACACTACAAAGGCACCTTGGTTAGAAAACCACCAATAATTTTATTACTGGGAATCTGCCCCAACCCAATAACGCCGAGCATGATGTTTTTGTAACATTTAATTATAACATTTATTATAAATCCATGGGCAAATGTGACAATTTGGTTACATTTAAAAAACATTGAACATTTTATATTTTTAATATATTTTGGTTGTTATATATATTGATAACTATGAAAGTAAGGAATAAAATCCAAAACGATTTTTTCCTGAAATTAAAAATTCAGGTGTTATAGGGCTAACGAAATAATTTTTTAAATATATGGAAAAATACTATAATCTCAGGAGCCCGGTGTAGTGGTTACACATTGTGCTGCTAAAGACCAGGTCAGCAGTTTGAAACCACCAGCCACTCTGCAGGAGAAAGATGAGGCTTTCTTTGGAGAAACAGTCTCAGAAACCCACAGGTGTAGTCCTACCCTGTCCTATAGGGTTGCTATGGATCAAAATTGACTAGATGGCAGTACATTTTTTGAG